AATATATTTATTTAATTTTTAATTCCTTTATTTAATATTAGTTTCATTATTTACTGCTCTTTTAATTGAAAGAATATTATTAGAAGTTATTGTTGTCGGTAATGTTGTTGAATATGTTGCTAAAACGGCAGCAGCATTTTTAATTTTTCTAGCTCTAAGTCCTGATTGATGACAAAACATTACTTGATCCCATTTAGATAAACATTGAACTAAATCTTTTCGAAGGGATTTTGTTCCCCATAATTCTCTTGGATTTGCCTTTAAAAAAAGAAAAATATATTTTTTTAATTTAATTGAGACACCTGAGAGCGGCAAAGTTCTAAACAACTTTGTCCAATTTCTTGTAACCCCATTTCTTTACAACAAACCTTTTTTAAAAAATAATTATTTTTAAAAAATTATTATTCTAAAATAATAACTGTATTGTCATGTGTCTGTGCTGCGCAATGGACAATAGCAGGTAAATATTTATATAATCTACATCTACTTGGTTGGATTGTATGCATTAACTTTTTAAATATTTTTATTTTTAATAATTATTTTAAAAATAACCAAAACTCTCGCTTCAATAGGATGACTTTCATAAGTACAAATCCCGCGACATTCTGGGGGAACAAAACGATCACAACACGAACCAAAAACCATATCAGCAATTCTTCTATCAATACACGGTTTCCAGTCGGTTTTAGCAGTTCCACAGTCCTTTAAAAATTTTAATTCTAATTTTTATTTAATTTTAAAATATTCACTCCAGGCTGCTCAAAGTCACTAACATCTGCTTGGGCAAAAATTGTTGAAATAAATATTAAAAAAATATTTAATTGTAATAACATTTGACCCTTTAAAAAATATGTGTAGATTTAAAAAAAATATTTACTAACTAGTAATTAATTTGTCTAAAATCTATTAATCTTTCCAAACCCAAAATCTCTCAAAATAATTAACAAATTATTAAAAGATTGGGTAATAAGAGATGAACTTGCCCGAATTTAAATTAAAAACTAAAAAGGAGAACTCATCCATTATCTCCCACAACCAGAACACTAAAGAGATTTCTTTCACTCACTCATAAGAGAGGAGGGAAACAGTAATGTCTCTCTTAATTACAAAAATATTGAAGGGCTCCGAAATTTTTGGTCCTGTCAGTTCCAATTTTTGATTACATTTCTGGCCGGCTTAGAAATTAAATAAAATGCTACTATATTTAACTAGATAATATTTATATTGAAGAAAAATTTTAAAAAATATTTAAAGAATTTTTTTTTAATTCATTCAATGAGAGAATCATTTTATAAATAAAGGAGAAGAATCGATCAAGGATTTGGCGATATAATTCCATTTGTGATCAATCACATTGAAGAGAAAAGCATGCAAAAGCTTTAATAGCAAGTTATTTACATTACTTGTTATCTTCCCCATTTTTCTAATTAAGCGAAAGAAGGAATAAATTGAAAAAAAATATTAGAAAGAAAATGTGTGGTGTAGTTATGCGCAATAAATTTTAAATGCCAAACAATAATTCCCATCACTAAAAAATAAAGGAATATTTAGTTACTAAATCAACATTTTATTATCCCTACAATGTTAAAATATGTAAGTATATTTACATAATTTTTATTTAATTTTCCTCAAATTATTCACCTCTATAAGGTTGAAAAATTTTTTTATTTTTCAAAAGCCAAATAAACTGGTTTATTATTCAACTTTGTTCGAAAAAATAATTTCGTTTGTTTACATTAATTATCAACGAGGATACTGAACACATTCCAAAAACAAATAACAATCGATTCGTTAAAGGAAATTCTTGATTAAATTTTTAATTTAAAAATTTAAATTAATTCATAAATTTTATTAAAAACAAAAATATCCAAACAAAACAAAATATTTTAAAAAATAAAAAAATTCAATCCAGTCCAGTTTTAACAACTGTCTTAACAGTTTCCGGCAATTGAGGCTCACTCGCTGCCATTTTTGAATTCATACGCCTATTCTTGTCCTTTCGTCTTCTCGATTCATGAATTATACGATGTTCTCTTGCAGCACTTTAAAAATAAATTGAAAAAAATATTTAAACAAAGACAAAACCTATAAATAGCCTTTGGAACATGTCTATGTTTAACAATTCGACGAACTTCTGGGTGGTTTTGGTATGTTTCACGTAATCTTTGGTTATATTCTAATGCCGCTTTTTCCCGTGGAACCAACTAAAATTAATTTTTTTAAATCTTTTTTGTTTTTAAATAAACCGGTCCAAGTTTTTCAGCAGCATTTGCTTTCCAAAGTCTAACATTCATATCATCACTTCCAGAAAGAACATATTTATTATCTAAAGACCAAAGCACAGACAGAACATATTGCATTCGAGGGGTGTGGTAAACTTCTCTAAAAAATATTTTGGGAATTATTTTGGAGAAATCTTTTTTTAATTTTTTTGAAAATTCTTTGCCTGCTTCTCCACTGTTCTGCTGGGAAAATTCGTATAGATCTATCATATGAGGCACTAACAAATTCCTGTCCAGAAGGAGAATAATCAACATCCATTACCGCAGACGTATGTCCTTCATGTACAATTCTAGCCTTTTCTAGATGACGCATATCAAAAGTATATAAACTAAAAAAACAATAAATTTAAATAATTTATGTAAATAAAAAAATACTTATAATCTTCATTTGCCACCGTGAAAGTAAAAGATTCTAATGGATGCCAAGCAAGTGAATTACTTCTTAATTTGAGCACAACTTTCGTAAGAGGAGTTCTTTGCCGAGAATCTAACAGAAAAATTGATCGATCACTTGAACACCCAGCAATAATAGAATCTTCAATTGGATTGCAACGCAGAAAATTAACGGTATTTGAGCCCAAATCATAATGACGAATTGGAGATTCTCTTTAAAATATTTTATTTAAAATAAACCAATAAAAATGATTTTTAATAAATTATTGAATAAATTAAAAGAAAAAGGTGAACCACAAAAAGCTGTCAACAATTACGAGGCCCTTAAAAGTGTCAAATAATTACCTGAATAATTTCCAAATACTTATTCCATCACCGCACGTTGCAAAATTTGACGAATTTACAATATGAGAAACAGAATGAGGAACATAATTAAGAGGAATTGAATGACAAGGCTCTTCTGAAAAGGGCACTCCACTACTCTCTGCTGGAAGTGCCCAAATTTTGAGTTGAGAATCTTGCCCAACGGTTATGAAATTATCTCCAATTTGTCCATCAATTGAAATACCTAAAAATAAACTAAAAATTACCTTACAGGAAAACTAACCATTTACAGGGCCATTATGGGCCTGGACTGTTTGAACACATTTTTTGGTCACCAAATGCCAAACTTTTACTTGACCATCCCGAGCGCCCGAAAGAACAGTTGAAAGACGAAGAGGATGTTTTTCCAGTAAATTAACTGCTTCATTATGTCCATCGAAGGATGCCAGGAATGGTTTGGCAAATACTCTCTCCAATTTTGCTCTTTAAATATTTTAAAATTTAAAAATAAATTCTAAACAAACGCATTCAATGCACGTGTATATTCCACTTGATGACGAAATGGGTCCTGATTTAGTATATAACTGCGTGATGCTGAAATATTTTTAAAAATTTTAGATTTTATTAGCCAGCTACCAATTCATAATTCCCTTAAAATACTTACCCCCCAAAGAAATGTTGAATAAAGAGAAAATTTCAGTTTTAGATACAAGAAACTTTTAATTTAAAACATTTCATAACTAACCCTTAAAAATATCCTTCTTGGTTTCGCGTTGATAATCGTCTGGATTCCTTGAAATAACCTTTATTTTCATACTTTTTGTAAAAATGAACACTTAAAAAAATCAAAATCTTTTATAAAAAGTATTAATTAAGTTTAAAACTTTATAAAAGTTATTAAAAGCAAAGAGATTTCAAAATTTATAATAAAATGTTAAATGAAAAAGACGTCCAAGATTCGGTACTTTTCGGTTATGAGGTTACACATTTACAAATTTTAAAATGTTCTCAAAATGGTCAATATATCATATATGTATAGGGTAGAAAAAGGTGCTGAGTCGAACGGTACCAATCTTTTTCACGGAGATTCTTGTGGACCGAGATATAGGGCTCAAAATGGTCAAAAACCATAGGGAGTAGTAAGCTCATGTTTGGGGTGAAAAATTCCATTTTTTGAATGATAGCTCATTTGAAAGAGCTTCTCGAGCTGAATCGAATGACACCAAAATCAGCTCGAAATCTCAATATTCTGAGGTCAGATGAACAAGCTCAAAATTACTACTCCCTATGGTTTTTGAACATTTTGAGCCCTACATCTCGGTCCACAAGAATCTCCGTGAAAAAAGATTGGTACCGCTCGACTCAGCACCTTTTTCTACCCTATATATGATATATTGACCATTTTGAGAACTTTTTAAAATTTTTAAATGTGTAACCTCATAACCGAAAAGTACCCAAGATTCTTTTGTGTCTTAAGTGAGACGTTTCTAAAGTCACAAGAACAAGGGGTTTTTCTCCCATAAAGTCAGGTGTGTAATCTTGGGCCTCGAATCATAAAATTTTCGACCTTGGACGTCTATACATATTAGATTAGTTTACAATTATATTAATTTTTGCGAATTACATAAATAAAGCAGGGAATAAGAAAAATTTCTTTGTAGGTATGCAGAAAAAGGGGCATATTGAGTTTTAACGAACCACAAAAGCAGATATTTTTCATCAGAAAAGGTTAGGTCAGAGCAGGCCAGTTTGTTACAAATACCGAATTGGTTTAAAGAATAGGAGCTCGTGTGGTTAGTTCTTTTTGAAAAGCTACAAAATGGAAATAAAAGTTTCAAAAAATCTTAAACAAAATTTCCAGGAAACTAAAAATTTGATGGATAGATAATTAAATGTGGCTAAATGGGTTTGAATCAGAGCAGACACCAGGTAATAAATGGAATGGATTGCATAATTTCTCTCGACCTCCTAAATTCTTTCATACTTTCATTTCATTGTTTATCATGAATTTTCATCTTCACTCATCTCATTGGGTACTGGATTGCTTTGAATGCCAAAAATGTCATGAGTATTCTCATAATCTTTGATCTATAAAAAGTTTCAAGTTTTAAATATTAAAAAATATATGTAACCTGCTTGAAAAGCAACTCTCTCCATTGTTCCAGGGAAAGATCCGGTGAACTTAATATTTATATAAGAATGAGGTAAAATTAAAAAGAGATACTGGTCAGGATCAATATATGGAGGTGGTGGCGGACCATCAACTTAAAATAATTAAATTTTTGTTATCAAATTAATAAACCTTCATTTTCATCATACCACTAAAAACAAAAGGAAATTAAAGTTTAAAAAAGAATTACAAACCAGACTGACGTAAGGAAATTTCAAAGCATCGGATACAGTGATTCTTAATATTTTTATATAAAAATTATTTCTTATAAAAAATATATTAAACCTCTGCAGAGGATTTAAAACAAGCATCCTAGATATTAAATCGCGAGCATTTTCAGCTAAAAATATAAAACAGATAACAGAAATATACTGAAAAATTTACCATTTAATCGGTCATTAATATTCTTTGGGAATATACTATCAGGAAATATTTCTTTCCAATCACGAGTTGCTAAAGAATTATATTACGCGAAATAGAAGTTTTAAATTTATTTAAAGGTAGCTGAGGATAACTTGAAAACTTTTAAGAATAAAAAATACGGCCCTAATCCAGGATAAATTTGAACATAATGTAAACATTTACCGACATAAGGAAGTTTCAAAATATAATTTCGAACTTCTGGCTGAACATAAAATTACTGAATTAAAGTAAGATATGAATGACAACCGTTAACAGCTTTGTAAAATCATTGTCAGGCGATCCTAGACCATCAACAATTTTTGTCCATTGGTCGATGTAGTCATTGCCAGGGAAAAATACCTTTTTTAAAATAGAAATTATTTTTAAACGAATCTCACTTTTCTAGTTAACAATTCAGCAAAAATACATCCAATAGCCCATACATCAACTTAAAAAAATAAAACACATACAAAAAATTCGCTGACCGTTTTCCTTATAAGGTATTCCTAAATAAAAAATTTATTAAATGTTTTTAATATAATTTAACCTAAAATAACTTCAGGTGCTCTATAATAACGCGTAACAACCTAAATATTCAGCATTTTAAATAAAGTACCATAAAACAAACATATGGAGTTTTGAGCTGAAAAATATATAAAAATATAATTGTTTCAATTATTTAAATAAAAATTAAACTTACAATATTTTCATCCTCGACATTACGAGCAAGTCCTATAAAAATATTTTATTAGATGTTTTTAAAGTTTTTATACCAAAATCAAGAATCTTTAATCGGCATTGATAATTGACCACAATATTACTAGGTTTTATATCCTTTAACAAATCATAAAATAATTTATTCAAAAAAACTTACTCTATGAACAATTGACGCTTTATGCAAATAATTTATTCCACAAAGCATCTTTAAAGAGAAAAAATGTAATAATAATCAAACAGAAAATACCTGATAAAGAAGAAATGAGAGACGTTCATGATCAAGGTCCATAGCAGTTACTTGACAAAGACTAGCATTCATAAGTTCCATAACCAAATATAAATCGTCAAACTCTTCCAACGTATTTTGTGGAGTAAAAGCATTAAGCAAGCGAATAATCTTAATTTTACAAAAGATAAAATAAACTTTTAAAAAATAAACATTAGGATGATCCATCAGATTCATTATTTCAAATTCGCGGTAAGCTAAGAATTAATTGATTTAATAATACATCCTAAATAACCTCGTTTTGCATGCGTTGGATTAGAAAAAGGCCGGGTCAGCTTTTTTATCGCCTTTAAATTTTCAGTTTACTAAATTTACTGTGAATAAAAAACCAACCACACGTTCATTGGTAACCACATCGAGAGCCGACCTAAAGAAATCAAAATACCAAAGAAAAATTAAATAACATACATGACAACTCCTTGTGCTCCTGAGCCAATTAGCTAAAGAGAATTCAAAAATAAAAATTTAACAAAATCTCACATAAAAGTCCGTGTAGCGTTTTAAAACTCGGATTATAGTTTTCTCATTCAAAATAACGTCATGATAACCATCAGTATCATTAACTAGAAATGGACGACCACTGTTCTCTCGAATACTAAATTTTGAAAATGTTACAAGGCGTCACTCAAAAACAAGAAATGGGCAAATCCCTTAAACTCCTTTCAGTGTCAGTATACTACTCCTTGGAATGATCGTCTAAATTAACTATTTTTATGTATTCTTTATGCAGTAAAGTACTAGAATTCACTGGTTAATTATCATAGAAATTAAATAAAGGTATGTTTATACATTTACCCATCATTACTTGTTCAAGTGGTATATCAAGTATAACATATAACATATCAAGTATAACATACCTTTATTTAAGTTGGTTAAATTAACAAAAATTACACTTAAAATGGTATTTTAACATTAAAACGAACTTTTGTGAATCCATTTTTCTGTATACGCTTTCCTCAGTAGGATGGGCACAGGATAACAAAAGATTGGCACTTGTGGTGGATACTTCTTGGCAATCTGCCGAACAGACGTCTGTTTTACTTCCAAGCCACTATTTATATTCTAATATAGAAATTAGCCAAAAAATTAACAAACCTGCTGTACACTTCCGAAAAAAGTGTTAAAATGACACTTGACTGAAGATCCAAATGTAAAGAATTGACTGGAAAATGCTGGATTTGGAATTTTGAAGTTTTATTTTATTGTTTGTTTTAATGAATCATCATCCAAATTCTATCTGATTTGTGTATAAAACGTTAAGCAAATATTAATTACATAAATTTATTTACATAACGGATAATAAAATAACAATATCAGCCTAGATGAATTCGATGGAAAACAAAACACTAAACAAACCAAACATTTACTGCAAGCCGATAAAATGACACGAATGCCCCGAGGCAAAGAGTAGGCAAAATTGTGATAAGCCAGTTCAAAGTCACATTTTAATAGAGGGTTGTTATGGTGCAACAATTGAATTTTTACTGAATAAATAAGGTGGACGTTGTGGGCGGATAATCGAGAATTCGAGGTGGACTAAATATGTACCTAAAATACACGGTATAAAAGCAAATCTTCTCTCCAACATCCTAGCTTTCAATACTACTTCCATCTGGTCGAGGACTCATCGCTTCGTTGAGATAAGGCGGAATGTACGTGTGTTCTGTCCGTACAGGGACACCACTTGGCAAGTTCGAGGCACCGGTGCCAATACCACTTTGCAAGAAGATTAAGGTCAGTATTCTTTTTTTAGTCAGTTGATAATTTACTTTTTTTTCAATTTCAGCCGATAAAGTTGCCGCTTCCGTCCAAAGTGCTTCAACACTATCCAAACTCTAAAGAGGAAACATTCATGGTTGGCTTCCAGAAACCTTCATGTTGTTGTTGCTTTAATCGAAAGCAGAAACCGCAGTTTATGCGAACAATCTTCGTTTCTACTGTAAATGACAAGTTGCTGTTGATCTACGATAAGGAAAAGAATAAAGGAAAGAAGAAGAAGAGCGGTGCTTCGACAAAAAGAGAAGGTTATAGCTTTCAGTTAAGCTCTGCTACAAGTTTGAAGATAAAGAAAAATGCACTCATCTCTAAAGTGTCTAAATATACAAATCAGGTAATTTTCTTACACACCTTTTATCTTTACGTTTTTCTCATTTAAGGATGAACATCATTGTATTCTGGAAATCAGCTTCAAATTTGGTATGTGCTTCATTGGAATGGATGGAGGAAAAATTATTTGTAAGTTTTCCAAAATTTTTATTCAAAAAGAATTTTATAATTAAATTTAGCTGAATGGTGCCCGGTGATTTTGTGCGCTTTTGATCCGCTTTTAATTCCTCCTACTCCTGCTTGTGATGTCTTGATTTCTGGCACTAATATTACGACAAAGAAAAATACTTCGAATGCTGCATTGGATGCAAATAACAAACAAAAGGAGAAAGCAGCACCTCTTAGTGCCGAGATTGTTGATAGGTGTGTTAAAATTTTCTTTAAATTAATGTTACTTATAAACTAACAATTTTAAGCTCATTACCACCTCCGCCTGTTGAAGAGCATCATGAAGATGTCAGTCAGGATGTTACCCGAAAATCGGCGTGTTCAAATATCTCACAAAAGCAGAAGAAGAAGCGGGCCAAGAAGAAGGCGAAAAATAAGAAAAAGAAAAACGATGAACCAAAAAAGAAGGAAAACTCTGAAATTGCTGTCGTTAACGATGTTGTAGCTGCCAATGAAGACAGTTTTGCCGATGTTGTTGATAGGGAAAAGAAGGACAAGAAGGAAAACGATTTGAGTGGAGACATTTCGAAAAAGTAAGTGATATCTAAATTATTTTATTCCTCTGATTATAACAACATTTTAACAGCATCAGCAAGAACAACGAACAAAAACAACAAAAAGGAGATCGAATGGAACGTTGGTTCTCCAATAATAGTGAAGATACTTCTAAACTCTCAGTCGATGACAAAGAAGCTGCCTCCGGGCCTATGCCAACTGAGAGTCCTAAAAAGCTATCTGACACCTCATTGACAGAAATTGGTCCTCCACTTGCAACTTCCTCTCTCGGTAATTTTTTGAGAACTTTTGTGAAAATATATACCCTAACTTACATAAATATTTTTAATTTTAGCTGATGTAAATTCGACCAACAATGACAACTTGAATTCTCATCAACATGAAGAATTTATTTTCTCCCGAATAACCAGTCACAACAATAATGATGAACCTTCAATGGCGATCCAGCGTCAACAACCAGCAACAAAAGCCCAACAATACCTTCTAAAACAGCAAAAAAATCGTTTCTGCAATTATACCAGCAACAATTCCTCTTATATTCCAATGAATGAAAATAAAGAGGAAGGCTCATATTCTATAACTTCTTGCACTTCTACATCAGAACAACGTACATCCCCTGAACCGGATTGTGGTTATCAGTTCACGTGGGTGCCAAAACATTTGAGCGAAGAGGAAATTATGATTGTTAAAGAAGAAATCGAAAAGAAGACCCAACAATTAGCATCCAGACAATTTATTGGCGAGCCATCAAGTGATAAATACATATTCTTTTTATTTTAATTAAAATGAGAAATTTTTAGATATCCAACATGTTTCTAAAACTACATATCACTGCAGCAAGCCATCATTTGTTGTTGAAGCTCCAAAAGAAGCGTCTAAGCAATGGCGTCCGGATGCCCTCATTGAACATCAAAGTAGAAATAAATCTGTACCGACAACACAAGAAGTGAAGAAGGATGCACCGCCACAATCTTGTTCTCATTTGGATGATACTCTACAACGTCCGTTTCCATTGCAAAAAGCTAAAAAGGTTACGACAATTTCTCCAAATGGGGGTGGCGTAAACAAGACGCCCAAACAGGTTCGATGGCTGTCACCACGCCGTGAATTCAACGACATTCCTCGCCCATATCATGTGGCCCCAATAAGACAGACGTAAGTGATTGACATTTTTCTTCAAAATTAACATTTAATTTAATTCAGCAGCTCTTCTCTTGGTTATATTGTTCGCCGATATGGTTTTAATGACGACATTATTGGTAGTGGTTGCGTCTACGATGGGGGCGACAATTCTACAAAATTACAACATTTTGGTCCACTTGGAAGTGAGGTGGCAATACGCGAACATGGACGGGAAAAGAGTGACCATAACCATCATTTGGTAAATGTACGCAAATTGTTCGAGCAAAGGATTACTGCATATCTTGATAAGAACAGTAGTGAAGCAATTGATGGCAACAATTTGGCTGCAATAGGACCTGTGAAGGATACTTTAGAACCTACAGCAGCATCTTTTGACTTGAACAACAAGAAAAGCAAAATGGAAGCGAACGACTGTAAACAACCAAATGAGACGGAAATGAAGAATAACAATGTAAGGAGTGTTTTTTTATTTTTAAATTAAAAAATTCTCTTTTTTAGAATCAAAAGTGTTGGCCACCTCAACAGAAAAGTAGTATTCCAGAGAAGCATCCAGTAAGACCGCCGCTTCCACCACCTCCTCCACTTCTCTTCCGTACACACATTCCAACTACGCGAGGTCAAAAACAGAATAATGAGAACAAGAATACCTAATCAACAAACATAAAACTTACATAATTCTTTTCAAGCATTTGCTTGTATTTTTTGCCCATGTCATTTGTTTTAATGATTCTAATATGTTGGTGTTAATTGCACCATATAATATACTTGTTTTTGTTGAGGAATATTTCCTATATTTGTGCAAAACTTTTTACTCAAATTATTTGTATATTTTGTATTGTATGTATGTAAATAAATATGTAGTTAATTAAAATTTTGATTAATTAAAAAAGATTTTTTAAACCTTTGTGTAAAATTATTTATATATTTTTTAAAATTTATTTTTAAATAATCGAAATAATTTTTAGTTAATTTATTTTTTTGAATGAAAGTTTTAATGGAACAATCTGAACTTAACGATAAAGAATTTTCAAAATATTTTTCTCGAATTAAAGAAGAAAATTGGGAGAGATCTTTGCTTTTAAATTTAGAAGAAGAATTTTATAAGGTTTAAATTATAATTATTTTTTGTCAAAATCATTAGCCTTTTTAGCTTTCCAAATCACTAACTTTACGTCAAATTCGATCTATTCAACTCGTATTTCTTAACAAAATTAATCCTCTCTTATTTTGTCAAATTACTGACAATGAATTTAAAAGTATTTTTAGTGGAATATTTTTAAATACAAAATTTTATTTAAATTCAATTTCAACAATTATTCAATTTATTGGATATAAAAATAATTTTTGTTTTTCTAAAGTTATTTGTATTTTTGAGTCAATTCAATCTGAATTATTTCAACGATTATTACTTTTGGAAAATGAAGGTTTTGATTAAATAATATTTTTATGGTACTTGTGAGTTATCCTAAACCAGTTTTTGCGGGCATTTTTGTACGGAATGGTTCGTCTTCCTTTTAATTTTCTTCATTGAAGTCATTGGCATGTGGCATGCAGGACAATTACTAAATATTTTCTTCTTTTTTAAGTTCAACATTTTTATTTCTTCAACAATTTCGTTATTCTTCTCAACTTCAAAATGTCAATTTTTTAATTTTAAATAATTTAATATTTTGTTATTTATCATTATTTGAATTATTGGAGATATCCTTATTAAAAGAACAATTCTCTAATGAATTAATTGATATATTTGAATGGATTGGAATTTTTAAAGAAAAGGAGGAAATAAAAGAACAATTAGAAATAAATGAATCTTTAAATGAATTAATTAATTTATTTTTGTTTAAATTAAATGAAATATTATTTTAACATTAAATGGGTTTGAATCAGAGCAGACACCAGGTAATAAATGGAATGAATGGCATAATTTCTCTCGACCTCCTAAATTCTTTCATATATTCATTTCATTGTTTCTCATGCATTTTCATCTTCACTCATTTCATTAGGTACTGGATTGCTTTGAACGCCAAAAATGTCATGAGTACTCTCATAATCTTTGATCTATAAGAAATCTCAAGTTTTAAATATTAAAAATATATGTAACCTGCTTGAAAAGCAACTCTCTCCATTGTTCCAGGGAAAGATCCGGTGAACTTAATATTTATATAAAAAAAGGTAAAACTAAAAAGACATACTGGTCAGGATCAATATATGGAGGTGGTGGCGGACCATCAACTTAATAAAATGATCAACTTTATTGTGATCAAATTAATAAACCTTCACTTTCATTTTCCTCATACCACTAAAAACAAAAGGAAATTAAAGTTAAAAAAAGTTGCAAACCATACTGACGTAAGGAAACTTCAAGGCATCGGATACAGTGATTCTTAATATTTTTATATAAAAATTAAATCTTATAAAAATATATTAAACCTCTGCAAGGGATTTAAAACAAGCATCCTAGATATTAAATCGCGAGCATTTTCAGCTAAAAATATGAAAATTTTAAGGGAAAATGTCTTTCATGTTTCTATACGCAAATTACTAACTAGATAGTATTATAATTATTGCAAAAACTTGTACAGATAATAGATCCGCGGAAATGTTTTTGTTGACAAAGATGAAGCTGGGGACGTCGAGCAACCCTTAGCTACCCACCATAGCCAAACAAAAATAATTTTGTTCAGAATTCGAGTCGGCTCGACGAACTCTTTCAAATATACTATAATTTGTACAAATTTTTCAAATGATTGTAATGCTATTTAATTAAAAATGTACACACAGAGAACAGGAATATATTGAAAATATATTTAAAAAATTTACCATTTAATCGGTCATCAATATTCGTTGGGAATATACTATCAGGAAATATTTCTTTCCAATCACGAGTTGAAAAGAAATAAATTAAGCGAGATCAAAGTTTTAAATTTATTTAAAGGCAGCTGAGGATAACTTGAAAACTTTTAAGAGTTAAAAATAGCTACGGCCCTAATCAGGCCCGTAACCAGGATTTTTTTCCGGGGGGGGGGGGCCAAGGGGGAGAAAATTTTTTTGCGCCAATTTTTTGGCGCCGAAGGCGCCAAAAATTGATTTTCAGCGCCGCAGGCGAAAATTTTTGAATTTTGGAGCTCAGAAAGCCAAATTTCTTCCATTTTTAGCGCCGCAGGCGAAAATTTTGAAAATTTCGGAGGCCGTAGGCCAAAAAAATTCACTTTTTTTGCCCTGCCCTTCCCCAAATTTTTCCCTTTTCCCCATTTCGGGGGGGGGGGGGGGGGGGAATTCCCCCCCCCTGGCTACGGGCCTGGCCCTAATCCAGGATCAATTTAAACATAATGTAAACATTTACCGACATACGGAAGATTCAAAATATAATTTCGAACTTCTGGCTGAATATAATATTACAAATTACTAGCTGAAAATAAAATATGAATGACAACCGTTAAAAGTTTTGTAAAATCATTGTCAGGCGATCCTAGACCATCAACAATTTTTATCCATTGGTCGATGTAGTTATTGCCAGGGAAAAATACCTTTTTAGAATAGAAATCATTTTTAAATCAATCTCACTTTTCTAGTTAACAATTCAGCAAAAATACATCCAATAGCCCATACATCAACTTAAAAAAATAAAACACATACAAAAAATTCGCTGACCGTTTTCCTTATAAGGTATTCCTAAATAAAAAATTTATAAAAAATTTTTAATATAATTTAACCTAAAATAACTTCTGGTGCTCTATAATAACGCGTAACAACCTAAATATTCAGCATTTTAAATAAAGTACCATAAAACTAACATATGGAGTTTTGAGCTGAAAAATATATAAAAATATAATTGTTTCAATTATTTAAATAAAAATTAAACTTACAATATTTTCATCCTCAACATTACGAGCAAGTCCTATTAAAATATTTTATTAGATGTTTCTAAAGTTTTTTATACCAAAATCAAAAATCTTTAATTGGCATTGATAATTGACCACAATATTACTAGGTTTTATATCCTTTAACAAATCATAAAATAATTTATTCAAAAAAACTTACTCTATGAACAATTGACGCTTTATGCAAATAATTTATTCCACAAAGCATCTTTAAAGAGGGAAAAATTTACTAATAATCAAACAAAAAATACCTGATAAAGAAGAAACGAGAGACGTTTGTGATCAAGGTCCATAGCAGTTACTTGACAAAGACTAGCATCCATAAGTTCCATAACCAAATATAAATCGTCAAACTCTTCCAACGAATTCTGTGGAGTAAAAGCATTAAGCAAGCGAATAATCTTAATTTTACAAAAGATAAAATAAACTTTTAAAAAATAAACATTAGGATGATCCATCAGATTCATTATTTCAAATTCGCGGTAAGCTAAGAATTAATTGATTTAATAATACATCCTAAATAACCTCGTTTTGCATGCGTTGGATTAGAAAAAGGCCGGGTCAGCTTTTTTATCGCCTTTAAATTTTCAGTTTACTAAATTTACTGTGAATAAAAAACCAACCACACGTTCATTGGTAACCACATCGAGAGCCGACCTAAAGAAATCGAAATACCAAAGAAAAACTAAATAACATACATTACAACTCCTTGTGCTCCTAAGCCGATTATCTAAAGAGAATTTAAAAATAAAAATTTAACAAAATCTCACATAAAAGTCCGTGTAGCGTTTTAAAACTCGAATTATAGTTTTCTCATTCAAAATAACATCATGATAACCATCAGTATCATTAACTAGAAATGGACGACCACTGTTCTCTCGAATACTAAATTTTGAAAATGTTACAATCTACAATCACTCAAAGATTTGAAGAAATGGGCAAATCCCGTAAACTACTTTCAGTGAACTACTACTAGAAACGGTCTGCTGAATTAAACACTTCTATGCATTCTCTATTCAGTAAAGTACTAGAATTCACTGGTTAATTATCACAGACATTAAAGGTATGTTTCTACATTTCCCCATTACTTGTTCAAGTGCAAAGTTGGTTAAATTAACAAAAATTAAACCTCAAATTGTATTTCAACATTAAAACGAACTTTTGTGAATCCATTTTTCTGTATACGCTTTCCTCAGTAGGATGGGCACAGGACAACAAGAGATTGGCACTTGTGGTGGATACTTCTTGGCAATCTGCCGAACAGACGTCTGCTTTACTTCCAAGCAGGCCCGTAGCCAGGATTTTTTTTCGGGGGGGGGGGGGGGGAAAGGGGGGAAAATTTTTTCTGCGCCAAATTTTTGGCGCCGAAGGCGCCAAAAATTTTTACTTTCAGCGCCGCAGGCGAAAATTTTGAGAATTTTAAAAGGCCGTAGGCCGAAAAAATTCACTTTTTCGGCGCCGCAGGCGCCAAAAATTTGATTTTCAGCGCCGCAGGCGAAAATTTTTTGAATTTTGGACCTCAAGAAGCCAGATTTCGTCCTTTTTTAGCGCCGCAGGCGAAAATTTTTTAAATTTCAGAGGCCGTAGGCCAAAAAAATTCACTTTTTTGCCCCAGCCCTTCCCCAAATTTTTTCCTTTTTCCCATTTCGGGGGGGGGGGGGGGGGAATTCCCCCCCTCACCCCCCCCCTGGCTACGGGCCTGCTTCCAAGCCACTATTTATGTTCTAGTATAGAAATTCGCCAAAGAAATTAACAAACCTGTTGTACACTTCCGAAAAAAGTGTTAAAATGACACTTGACTGAAGACCCAAATGTAAAGAATTGACTGGAAAATGCTGGATTTGGAATTTTGAAGTTTTATTTTATTGTTTGTTTTAATGAATCATCATCCAAATTCTATCTGATTTGTGTATAAAACGTTAAACAAATATTAATTACATAAATTTATTTGCATAACGGATAATAAAATAACAATATCAGCCTAGATGAATTCAATGGAAAACAAAACATTGCACCAGTCGAAACGTTTACTGCAAGCCGATAAAATAACACGAATGCCCCGAGGCAAAATGTAGGCCAAAATTAGTGAAAAGCCAGTTCAAAGTCACATTTAATAGAGGGTTGTTATGGTGCAACAATTGAATTTTTACTGAATAAATAGGGTGGACGTTGTGGGCGGATAATCGAGAATTCGAGGTGGACTAAATATGTAGCTAAAATAAATGGTATAAAAGCAAATCTTCTCTCCAACATCCTAGCTTTCAATACTACTTCCATCTGGTCGAGGACTCATCGCTTCGTTGAAATAAGGCGGAATGTACGTGTGTTCTGTTCGTACAGGAACACCACTTGGCAAGTTCGAGGCGCCGATGTCAATACCGCTTTGCAAGAAGATTAAGGTCAGTATTCTTTTAGTCAGTTGATAATCTACTTTTTTTTCAATTTCAGCCGATAAAGTTGCCGCTTCCGTCCAAAGTGCTTCAACACTATCCAAACTCTAAAGAGGAAACATTCATGGTTGGCTTCCAGAAACCTTCATGTTGTTGTTGCTTTAATCGAAAGCAGAAACCGCAGTTCATGCGAACAATCTTCGTTTCTACTGTAAATGACAAGTTGCTGTTGATCTACGATAAGGAAAAGAATAACGGAAAGAAGAAAAAGAAGAAGAGCGGTGCTTCGACAAAAAGAGAAGGTTATAGCTTTCAGTTAAGCTCTGCTACAAGTTTGAAGATAAAGAAAAATGCACTCATCTCTAAAGTGTCTAAATATACAAATCAGGTAATTTTCTTTTACACCTTTTACCTTTACGTATTTCTCATTTAAGGATGAACATCATTGTATTCTGGAAATTAGCTTCAAATTTGGTATGTGTTTTATTGGAATGGATGGAGAAAAGATTATTTGTAAGTTTTCCAAAATTTTTATTCAAAAGGAATTTTATAATTAAATTTAGCTGAATGGTGCCCGGTGATTTTGTGCGCTTTTGATCCGCTTTTAATTCCTCCTACTCCTGCTTGTGATGTCTTGATTTCTGGCACTAATATTACGACAAAGAAAAATACTTCGAATGCTGCATTGGATGCAAATAATAAACAAAAGGAGAAAGCAGCACCTCTTAGTGCCGAAATTGTTGATAGGTGTGTTAAAAATTTTTTTTAAATTAATGTTACTTAGAAACTAACAATTTTAAGCTCATTACCACCTCCGCCTGTTGAAGAGCATCATGAAGATGTCAGTCAGGATGTTACCCGAAAATCGGCGTGTTCAAATATCTCACAAAAGCAGAAGAAGAAGCGGGCCAAGAAGAAGGCGAAAAATAAGAAAAAGAAAAACGATGAACCAAAAAAGAAGGAAAACTCTGAAATTGCTGTCGTTAACGATGTTGGAGTTGCCAAAGAAGACAGTTTTGCCGATGTTGTTGATAGGGAAAAGAAGGACAAGAAGGAAAACGATTTGAGTGGAGACCTTTCGAAAAAGTAAGTGATATCTAAATTATTTTATTCCTCTGATTATAACAACATTTTAACAGCATCAGCAAGAACAACGAACAAAAACAACAAAAAGGAGATTGAATGGAACGTTGGTTCTCCAATAATAGTGAAGATACTTCTAAACTCTCAGTCGATGACAAAGAAGCTGCCTCCGGGCCTATGCCGACGGAGAGTCCTAAAAAGCTATCTGACACCTCATTGACAGAAATTGGTCCTCCACTTGCAACTTCCTCTCTCGGTAATAAATTTTTTGAGAACCTTTGTGTAGATATAAACCTATCATTTTTAATTTTAGCTGATGTAAATTCGACCAACAATGACAACTTAAATTCTCATCAACATGAAGAATTTATTTTCTCCCGAATAACCAGTCACAACAATAATGAGGAACCTTCAATGTCGATCCAGCGTCAACAACCAGCAACAAAAGCCCAACAATACCTTCTAAAACAGCAAAAAAATCGTTTCGACAATTATACCAGCAACAATTCCTCTTATATTCCAATGAATGAAAATAAAGAGGAAGGCTCATATTCTATAACTTCTTGCATTTCTACATCAGAACAACGTACATCCCCTGAACCGGATTGTGGTTATCAGTTCACGTGGGTGCCAAAACATTTGAGTGAAGAGGAAATTATGATTGTTAAAGAAGAAATAGAAAAGAAGACCCAACAATTAGCATCCAGACAATTTATTGGCGAGCCATCAAGTGATAAAAGATTCTTTTTATTTTAATTAAAGTGAGAAATTTTTAGATATCCAGCATGTTTCTAAAACTACATATCACTGCAGCAAGCCATCATTCGTTGTTGAAGCTCCAAAAGAAGCGTCTAAGCAATGGCGTCCGGATGCCCTCATTGAACATCAAAGTAGAAATAAATCTGTACCGACAACACAAGAAGTGAAGAAGGATGCACCGCCACAATCTTGTTCTCATTTGGATGATACTCTACAACGTCCATTTCCATTGCAAAAAGCTAAAAAAGTTACGACAATTTCTCCAAATGGGGGTGGCGTAAACAAGACGCCCAAACAGGTTCGATGGCTGTCACCACGCCGTGAATTCAACGACATTCCTCGCCCATATCAAGTGGCCCCAATAAGACAGACGTAAGTGATTGACATTTTTCTTCAAAATTAACATTTAATTTAATTCAGCAGCTCTTCTCTTGGTTATATTGTTCGCCGATATGGTTTTAATGACGACATTATTGGTAGTGGTTGCGTCTACGATGGGGGCGACAATTCTACAAAATTACAACATTTTGGTCCACTTGGAAGTGAGGTGGCAATACGCGAACATGGACGGGAAAAGAGTGATCACAACCATCATTTGGTAAATGTACGCAAATTGTTCGAGCAAAGGATTACTGCATATCTTGATAAGAACAGTAGTGAAGCAATTGATGGCAACAATTTGGCTGCAATGGGCCCTGTGAAGGATACTTTAGAACCTACAGCAGCATCTTTTGACTTGAACAACAAAAAAAGCAAAATGGAAACGAACGACTGTAAACAACCAAATGAGACGGAAATGAAGAATAACAATGTAACGAGTTTTTTCTAATTTTTAAATTAAAAAGTTCTTTTTAGAATCAAAAGTGTTGGCCACCTCAACAGAAAAGTAGTATTCCAGAGAAGCATCCAGTAAGACCGCCGCTTCCACCACCTCCTCCACTTCTCTTCCGTACACACATTCCAACTACGCGAGGTCAAAAACAAAATAATGAGAACAAGAATACCTAATCAACAAACATAAAACTTACACATAATTCCTTTCAAGCATTTGCTTGTATATTTTGCCCATGTTATTTGTTTTAATGATTCTAATATGTTGGTGTTAATTGCACCATATAATATACTTGTTTTTGTTGAGGAATATTTCCTATATTTGTACAAACCTTTTACTCAAATTATTTGTATATTTTGTATTGTATGTATGTAAATAAATATGTAGTTAATTAAAATTTTGTTTAATTAAAAAAGATTTTTTAAACCTTTGTGTAAAATTATTTATATATTTTTTTAAATTTATTTTTAAATAATCGAAATAATTTTTTAGTTAATTTATTTTTTGAATGAAAGTTTTAATGGAACAATCTGAACTTAACGATAAAGAATTTTTAAAATATTTTTCTCGAATTAAAGAAGAAAATTGGGAGAGATCTTTGCTTTTAAATTTAGAAGAAGAATTTTATAAGGTTTAAATTATAATTATTTTTTGTCAAAATCATTAGCCTTTTTAGCTTTCCAAATCACTAACTTTACGTCAAATTCGATCTATTCAACTCGTATTTCTTAACAAAATTAATCCTCTCTTATTTTGTCAAATTACTGACAATGAATTTAAAAGTATTTTTAGTGGAATATTTTTAAATACAAAATTTTATTTAAATTCAATTTCAACAATTATTCAATTTATTGGATATAAAAATGATAATTTTTGTTTTTCTAAAGTTATTTGTATTTTTGAATCAATTCAATTGGAATTATTTCAACGATTATTACTTTTGGAAAATGAAGGTTTTGAATTTTTAAAATTTTATTTTATTTAAATTTTTAACAGAACAGATTTAAATGAGGATATTCTTTCAATCGACCAATTTGCATTTATTTTGAGTAGTTATCCAGACAGAATTTATAATTTTGTTGGTCGAAATGGTGGTGAATTTGCCTCGTTAACAATTTGTACATTTGAGAATAATTTATTAGAAGCTCTTATTAAAGTATTATTAAATGGAAATTTTAATGTTGAGATTTTTGCTAAAATTATTTTTAATTATTCTATTGAGGTTTTTTTAATTTTTTTAAATTAAAATATATTTTTAAAGTTCTTCGACCGGTTTTTATCTAAAATCATTTTTGAAGAGGATTCCTATCATTCATTACAACGTATTTTTACTTTTGATAAAATCGAGAAAAGAAAACGTGAAGCAATCCTTATTAGATTAATTCAATTTATTCCAGATGGAAAAAGTTTGGAGGTAAAGAATATTTTTTAAATTACTTTGAATAAAATTTTAAAGAGAATATTAAACCATTTTTGTGGATACCACTTTCTTGACCCGGATATCCGCAAAAATTAGTCCGCAAAAAATAAAATGCCTTAAAATATAGTAATTTTCTTTCATCTTTTTTCAGAAAATTTTTGGAAATTCTCCTCTGTCTGACCAACTTCTCCATAAATGTCTTCTTGAAAAATCTATTTTTATAAATTCAAATTCTTCAATTAGAAATTCAATAAAATCTGCAGAATTTTTTTCTTTGCTCGGACAAAATTATTTAATTAAAGCATTTAATCAATTAATTAACCAATTTTGTGCACAAAGTCAAATTCTTTCAATTATTTCTCTTCAAAATCAATTTAATCTTTCATTAGCCGTTATTGACTTTGCGAGACAAATAAAGTTTTTTTAAATATTTTTTAAAATATTTTTTTGATTTTTAGTAAAGAAATGCGTCTTTCAATTAGAGATGATTTGACAAATTCTTTAATTAATGTATTTTCACGTCTTTTAGAACAATCTGGTTAAATTTTTATTTTTTTTTTCAAAAATAAAATTATTTTTTAAAGAAATTTCTCGTCGTCAAATAGGAATGTTTACTGCAGAAACAATTTTTAATCTTTTCGAACATCCTTCGCCTTTGAAATTTGATTATATTCAAACAGATCCAGTTCTTTGCGATTTTATTAATGCGTTGAAAGGAAGAGAAATTGAAAAAATGGAAGAGGGAGATAAAGAATTAGGTTTAAAATTATTTAAAAAAATTTTGACATGATAGAGAGGAAATACTCTCATATTTGACAATCCTATATATATTTTCTGACCTCTCTTAACTGTCTAAAAATATTTTAAATTAAAAATAATAAAAAGTTATTTTTTTCAGAAAAACCACAATTTTCTTCATTTCTACAAAAAAAGCATGTAATTGATCCAAGAGTTTCAATTCTTGATAGTGATGATGATGAAGAAGAAGAAAATATTCTTAATTCTATGAGAAATATTAAAATAAATGAAGAAAGACAATCCTCATCTTTTCCTTATATTCAAGATTGTTTGGTTACATTAAAAGACGAAAAAACAGAATTTAAGCATTGGGAAGAAGCTTTACTTTCAATTGGGCCATTAATTAAGAAAAAATCGATTGGATTAAATATTTTGGGAATTGAAATTTTGGAAACTTTAATTTTTCTTGAAGAACGGTTTAAAATTGATAATTTTAGGGTAATTTTATTTTTCTAATAATAAAAAAATTAATTTTTAGAATATAAAAATCGAAATAATTTCATTTTTATTGGCTGATAATCCACAATTAATTAGCCATTTTAATCGTCTATTTTGTTCAAAAAGATGCTCACAATCACAAAAATTTTTAATAATTTCCTCAATTGTAAATGCTGCAAAATTGTTATATTATGGAGATGAAAATGGGGAAAATATTAAAAAAGAAAATGAAAAGGAGGTAAAAAAGAAAGGGGAAAGGGAATTTTTTTAAATTTTAATTTGAAGGAAAAAGAAGAAGAAAATAAACAAATTGGAAAAATTATTTGGAGATCAACAAATTTAAAACAAAATTCCAAACAAATAATTAAAACATCTAAATTTGCACCTGTTGCCTCCCAATTTATTTTTTCCTTATTAGATTTATGTCAAAAATATAGTTTAAATGTTTGTAATTTAAAGAAAATTATTTTTAAAAAATATTTTAGGAAAAAGATTTTAATATTTTGGCTAATTTAATTGGGGCTCTTGGTGAAGTAATTAATATTTGTAAATTCTCTCCTTCGATTGTTCGAATTGCTAGGTAATTTTTTTCTTAATTTAATTAACAAATATTTTCTTTTTTTAAGTTCAACATTTTTATTTCTTCAACAATTTCGTTATTCTTCTCAACTTCAAAATGTCAATTTTTTAATTTTAAATAATTTAATATTTTGTTATTTATCATTATTTGAATTATTGGAGATATCCTTATTAAAAGAACAATTCTCTAATGAATTAATTGATATATTTGAATGGATTGGAATTTTTAAAGAAAAGGAGGAAATAAAAGAACAATTAAAAATAAATGAATCTTTAAATGAATTAATTAATTTATTTTTGTTTAAATTAAATGAAATATTATTTTAAAATTTGTTTATTTTTCTATCGAAATATTTTGATGTTTTCCAATAAATAGGGATCGGAATTTCATACAGTTTGAGATAAATAAAATTAAAGGAAGGTATGGACTAAAATAGAGCTCGGTATAGATGAGATCCTCGTTCAGAAATCCTATGGTTTTCAGAGACAAACGGGATCTCGCCTCCTAAAACATTGAAGAAAATAGGTTACAGAATATATTTACAAAAGTAAATCATCAATAAATTCATCAAATTCCTCATCAGCAGTTTTCTCAGCTTCTAAGACAGCAGTTTTGCTACTCCAGATTTCAGAAGCAGATTGTGCTGAGGCCTAAAAATTAAAAATAAATTATAGTGAAACGGTCATTTCCGTTGATCTTTTTGAGTATTTTTTTCTTTTATCTTTTTCCCTTAGGTTATGAAGGGAAAAAGAGAAAAGAATGGAAGCAAAAGGAGCTCTCGTAGCTTTCGTTCCTTCCAAAAAAAATTTTTTTTAATTAAATTCTCTACTTTATTCGCTGCCTCCTCGTCAATTTTTCTCTTTTCTTCTTCAGATAATTTTTGTTCTTGAATATTTTTATCCTCTTCCTCAACACTCTCTTCGCCTTCATCAGAAGTATCAGAAGAAGAAGACGAACTTGCTGTTTTACTCAAATATTTTTTAATCTTCTTGTTTTTCCTTTCCCTTCTTTTTCTCCTTTTTTCTTCCTTTTCCTCTTCCTTTTCTGATTTTATTTTTGATTTTATCAAAGCTTTCTCTTTTTTAATTAATCTTTTTTGACTGTGAAAGTTTAATTTTGCCGAGCATTCAGGACATAAACGAACTTTTACTAGCGCATTCTTTCTAACACCGTGTTCGGTATATGCAAAGTTTACCTGAAATATTTTTGTTAGGTATACTCGATGTTGGGAAATTTGAGAAAAGACTGGTCGGCCTTAAAGGTATTTCAAAGTGCCCCGATTATACCCCTACTTTATCTAACACAATAATCTAAAATCAAACAGAGAATGAAGAAGAGGAGGGCGAAATACACGTTAGTCAGAAGAAAAGAAATACTTTAAAATTTTACGGATTTAGGATGATATAACTATGACCAACAGAAATCTGGATTAAAATTTAGTAATTCCCCACCTCCCAACTAGACAATGCCTCCTTAGATTTACAATATTTATTTCCACATTCAAATTGCCCCTTCCCAGAAAATAATTCTTTTTCAGTTCTCCAACGCATTGCATAAACATTTTGTTTGTATTTAGTTAAATCGACAATACAATATTCTTTAAATAATTTGTCATAGTAGCGCTTAGCTAGTCGAGCCCCCCAATTCGCTTCTGCTTCAGTCATTTCCGTATCTGACCAAAGGAAGCGGTGATTCTCCTATAAATTAGAAGAGAAAATTAAATATAATTCGGGTACTTGTTAAGATTATATTTTCCTTTTGGATAAGGGATTAGGAGAATACCCCTTTTGGATAAGGGTTAGGAGGACCAAAGTCAATGACCATAATGAAGAAGCTGTGCATGTTCAGCAGAACGACAACCACTACTACTTAAAATAAATTTTTTCAGTGTCTCCTTACCCTAATTATATCAAAATCATTTTTATCACTGCTAGTATCTCTTTGCAATTTTGTTGTAGATCCTTTATAATATGTAACATAATTATTTATCATCATTTTATGCCGAGTATAAGCATCAACTGATTGTAAGCGTGTCTTTATTCTGTGAGAAAATTTGAATTTTGAAAATTTTTTATCATAATTTATCAAATACGGAGTGAGTCAACCTGAGCTAGTGAGGTGAAAAGACTTTAGATTCTCTTGGGAAATTTTTGGTCCTAACCATAAATTTTTGGGTTGATAAATACAGGGTGACATAAAAATGCTTTTTTGAACTTGATTTATGTCACCCTGTAACTTCACAATTGGGTTCTATAAAAAATTTTTCAGAGGGGTCAAAGTCCAAGCCATCCTCTAGCCTTCATAATTCGCCCAAAAATTTTTTTAATAATTAAAATATTTTCCACCTCTGTTCAGGAGGTATTGCTCTGCTTTTAAATTGCCGTGTATTGTTTGAACTTGAAGGTTTATTATTTGGATTTTCCCTTTTCCTTTTAAGTTCAGGCATATAAGGGTTTGGTTCATCATAAACTCTTCTAATCATTTTTTTCTAAAAATTTAAAAAAATTTTTATATAGAAGATTAAAATTAAGAGTAGCTGTCCAAACCGAGAGAAAAAGGAGGATGCCAAACATGGTCGGACCTGACTAGAAGATAAACTCTCAATTTAAGGTACACATTAGTGTTCTTTGTGACCGATTAATTTTCGCCTCTAAAATTGAACTAACTTGGAGAGCGAGCTGACAACACCCTCTATTTAAAATATAACCCCATTATAAGCTAAATAATTTTTCAAACTTAAGGGTGACCTTAAAGTAAGGGTCGTTTGTGTTTTTGAAGTCAAGAAATTTTCTTTGAACGGCTACTTTAAACGAAAAATTTTTAAAAGTATTTATAAATTGAATTCTTTTGAAGAACAAAAATTAATTAATTCTAAAAAATGAATTTTTTCATTTTATATCAAATGAAAATTAATTTTTAAAAATAATTTAATTTTCAATAAAGGTTGCATCATTATTATTATTCTTCCATTGGGGTAACATTCTTTGAGCAATCCCCTTTATTAATTTCATCAATCCCCTCCTCTTCTTCTTTCTCTTTATTTTCTGCTGACATTTCTTCTTCAATTATTTTTTCGTCTTTTTCTACAATTTCAGGCAATTGTATGTGATCACAAATAACTTCCAATTTTCTAGATTCTTCTTGGTCCTTTTCTAAATTTTTTGTTTGATCGTTTTCTTTCGTTAATTTAGCTATTGAGCAAGAAGAAAAGAGACTGAAAAATAAAGAATTAAATTTAAAATTTGTTTGGTTAAAATTTTTGACTTTATGGCCTAAGATCAGTTAACAATCAAAAAAATTTATTGAAATTGTGGGGAAAATTTTTTTACATCAAATGGGGTATATAGGGGGCTTTGTTTAGTCTACGCCGGCCAAAGAATTTTTTGAGAAATTTTTTTTAAATTACAAAAAGTTTGAATAAATTATTCCAATTCGAGAATTTAAAGAGAGATTAATAAAAAAATTTTTTTGCAAAAAATTTTTTAACCTATTTTTAACAGCATGTACAATCATTCCATGTAAAACTTCACACCCCAATTTTTCTCCATCTTTAACAGCTTTTTGTAATTTTTCTCCAAACATTGAAGAATTTTTATTTCCAATTTGTTCTAATTTTGCAGCCAAATCATAAACTTGTGAAGTTATATAATGAGAATTGGTTATTAAACGATTGGAACAAAGTGTGTTTACCTGCAAATTTTTTTATAAAAAATATATAAATCGGATCAAAAAAGCCTGTTTTTTTTTTGCTGTGAACAGTCTATTTTATTAATTCTCTAGTTAAAATCTATTTTTTTTCATTCAATTAATTTTTGAATTGAAAAAATAGATTTTTAATTAAAAAAACAGATTTTAACTACAAAATTTTAAAAATTTGTTTTCAATTTGATAGGGAAATTACAGGTTTTGTTTTGGAAAATTTTTAAAAATCATTCTTTAAAAAGTTCAAAAATTTCGGTATTAAAATCCATCAAAATCCCTTGTAATAAAAAACCAAATTAAATTAACGGGATAATTTAAAAACTAATCAAAAATTAAATTTAAAAAATCTTTCCACAAACCCAATAAGTATTCCAAAGAGCATCAAATATTTTTGTATCAAGTGAAGATTTGAAATAAGTAATGTCCAATGAATAATACTAAAAAATATAATCTATTCAATGAAAATGTTAGAAAAACCTGTTTGCAATGTACACCAAAATCTTCAATTTTATTTAAAGGAATTGTTTGATATTCTGATTGAGGTTCGTCTGGGGGTTTATAGCCTTAATTTAGAAAAAAATTGTTCTGGATTGTAAAAATTTCTTAAAAGATATATTCTATTTTTAGAGTCTTATTTTAGTAAATTAACCGGTCCTTTTCAGGTATTTCCCCGGCTCTACTGAATCCAATTCATAAATTTGGATATAATCTAATTCGGTATGATTAATTGAATCGTGATGTCCTCAAGTTGATGAGCCTAGTATTTTTAATACCAATAATTTAAAAAATGTTAAAAATTGGAAAAAAAATTAAAAAAAACCTTTTGGATAAGTTCTAAAAGCGCCAATGTCAACTTTCCCTGCACTAATCGTCCGAATTGGGTCAATCTAAGAATTAAAATTTTTAAAAAAACTTTATAAAAAAATACCACAATAGCTACGAAAGGTTCTTGAAATTGTTGATTAAGTGCTTGCGTGCTAACATCAATTCCACTTAACCAACAGCCATAACCTGGATGGGAATGGTACCAACCGACAACCTAAAGAAAAAAAAATATTTTTTATAATCTTAAACAGTTTGAAGGAAGCTTCCAAATTTCTTTTCAAAGATTTTATGCTGAATTAGCTAAATTTCACGAAAAAAAATTTTTCCAAATTAAAAATAATTCTTCATTACTCACAATCAACTAAAAAATGGGTTTTATTAAAAACAAAGTGTCTCTCTAATTTTTAAGAAAATTATAGGAATATCCCAAAGTCTCGGTAAAGGAAAGTGGTTGAGGAAACCGGGTTCTGATTCCCGAAACTGAGAGAATTTTGGAAACACCAGTAATAGAATAGTGGAACCGTCGAAATTTTGAAACTGCGAGAAATTCAAATTTTTTAATGGAAATGGATCCCACAACCTACGACTCCAAATTGAACTAAAAATAAAAAACCTTTTCAAGACGTCCAACAGCTTCACACCCTTCACTATAATTTGTCATAAATTCATAGGCTTGAGCTTGTGCATTTACACGCGTTTCAGTTCCTTCTACAGGAAGTGCAAAACTGTCAATAACAATTAAGGGTATTTGCATCTACACGTCCTTGCATTAAACCCATAACTTCAATATTTCCACCACTCCGTGCATGCATAACCATTTTAAGAAGAGCAATAGAAGAAACTTTGACTTCCTAGAAAAGTAGGAAATGAAAATTCTAATATAAAATTCAACAAACCCTAATAAAAAATCTAACAAACCTTGAAATAATGCGGATCCTTTTCCCATGGCTTTACATTTCTAATCATTTGCTGCTCCTCTTTGTCATATTTAAATATTGCGTCAATTGAATCAGCAACACTATTTTCTAACATCCAATTACGTTGAGCTATTTGGGCGCTAGAAGATGGCTGTCCTTTCATAATGTTGAAAAATTCAATTTTCTTCAAGAAAATTTTTAATTCTAAAATTGCTTAAGAATACAGAAAAATAGCCAAGATTTTAAACGAAAAAAGAAATTTAATTTAAAGGCTATTAAAAATAATTAAATTAGTAATTGATAGCAAATAGGTAACTTTAAATAATTTTTTAACCAAGAAAAAAAAATTCCGGTCTCAAAATTTACAAAAAATTATAATTTCATACTCAAATAAATTGGGATAAAATGTCATTTTTCTAAATTTTCTGGGAAATTGCGGGTTTAAATTTTTTTAATTCAATTAAAATCTGAAAAACATTTTCCTAAAACATTAGTAAATTTCTTAAAAATGGCGACTTCTTGTGGGGACGTTTTTTCAATTAATGGAGTTAATGTTCAATTTCCTTATACACCTTATGAATGTCAACGCGATTTTATGGAGAAAGTTTTGGAAACTTTACAATCGGTCTTTATTTTAATTTTCAATTTATTTTCTCAATTTTTTAGAGTTCAAATGCTGCTTTAGAATCTCCTACCGGGACAGGTTTATTTTTTAATTTTTTTTGATCGATAATACTTTTTGAGGCAAAACGCTGTCCTTGCTTTGTTCAGCCATTGCTTGGATTCAAGAATACAAGGAAAAATTAAAACCACAAACTTTTGCTAACAATACTGGACTTACTAATCCTTGTATAAATGGTAAAATTTTAAAATAAAAGAAAAATTTAATTTTTTGGAGGGAAACTACAAATTGAAAATTTTAGCAAACCTTGATCAGATTCTTGTCCTTGAGTCAAGGAAAAATCAAGGAACATTGAAGCCTTGATTTTGAGTCTGGATCCAGGAAAAATGAACGTTTGGATACAGGTCCAGGTCGATCTCTAGTCTTTACCCCTTCCAAATTGTAAAATCCCCTCGGCTAATATGTGAGGGGTGACATTTTATCCCATAACGAAAAATTATTAATTAATTTCCAAAGTTTGGAATTTTTGTTTTTTTTAATTTCCTTAAATTTTAGTATTAATTAGCCTTTATTTTAAAGCACCAAACCATTCAATACTTTACCCTCGTATTTATTATGCTTCACGTACACATAGCCAATTGCAACAAGTTGTTAGAGAATTAAATAAAACAAAATATAAATCGTTTGTTTGTTTTTTTAATTTCATAAAATCAAGTAAAATTTTAAAGGGTGGTTCGTCTAGTAACTTTAGCTGGAAGAGACAAACTCTGTTTAAATGAGCGGGTTTTGAAGGAACAAAATTCTGAAGTAAGAGGTCAGCTTTGCAGAACGATGACTAGAGCAAGAAAATGCAATTTTTATAATACTCTTGAAAGTAAGGGAAATTTTTTTATTTTGTTGTGAAGCTTCTATTTTTTTAATTTTGAAAATTTTTAATTTAAAAATTTAGAAGATGCTGATTCTTTGGATGCAATGTATTCTGGAGCTTTAGATGGCAATGCTTTGGATATCGAAGACCTTTTGAACACTGCTAGGAAATTCAGGTTTATTATCGCAGTTGAACTTACTTATATACGAAGCCCAATGTGATACACCTTTGCTTATTGTTAGAATATGTTTTTTTTTTAATTTATATGACTTTTTGAATGAGGGTAAACTGCCTCTAGGCACATACACTTTAATAAATAAATTCTGTTTGAAATAAAAAATTTTCCGTCCATTCGTTTATCTAAAAGTGGGAGGTCCACCTTTTGTAAATTTTAATTTTATTAAAAATTTATTATTTAAAGGCATTGCCCTTTTTATCGTGCTCGCCAACAATTTGAACAAGCTGATTTAGTTTTATTACCTTATAATTACCTTTTGGATCCAAAAGTTCGAGAAATGTATGAAATTAAAGTTAGAGGGAATATTTTAATTTTTGACGAAGCTCACAATATTGTAAAAATTTTTAATTGAAATTTTGAAAAAAATTTTATTTTAAAGGAATCGGTAGCTGAACAGTCTGTTTCGATTGATTTTTCAACAAAAACATTAAGTATTGCAATAAGGGAGGCAAAGAAAACTTTGGAAATGGTTATAGAAGAGGAGGAGAAAATCAGAAAAGAAATGGTTTTTAAATTTTTTAAATTTGAAGACGAGGGGGTGACAAAATTTGACAATTTTGTTATTTCTTTGGGCTTTTAATGCCCATAGATGTCAGCAAATGTTTTTTATTCACATTTTCGTAATCCATTTTTTCTAATTTATAGACTACCTAACTTTTTCTACGCAAAATTGGTAGAGATTAACATTTGCTGACATCCGCCTTTCTAAAAGTATCAAACTTTGAGGCATAACTTTTTAGTTTCATATCGCTAACCAAAAAAGCCAAAAATATTCTATAGTTAATTATAGTTGGGATTGTTCCTCATCAATCTTTAATAATTTATTCTAATAATAATTTTAAAAAATTTTAAGGATGATAATGGACCAAGTTTTTCTTCGTTAATGGATAAAAGAGGGGGAAAAAGACAAAAACAAAAAGAAGATGATAAAGAGAAACAAGTTAGTAAACAAGATGTTGCTTCTCTTTTGAGTGAGGTTTTTTTATTAAATTTAATTTTGCGAGGTATTAGGGCATTAAAAATACTCAAAGTGGTTCGGAATTCACATTTTCGTGATCCTACTTCCCGTCATTTTTTTTCTTCTGATTTTCATTTGACTGTCTTAATTTCCGACATCCTAGGCTGTTCAGAACTACATTTGAGAATAAAGTTGTTGGTTCAGAACCGAACCAAAGGGTTGAGGATTATTTGAATTTAAAAATATTTGAATTTAAAAGTATTTGCCTTTTAATTGATAAGGGTTGAGGATTTTTCGGGGTGCGGTTCTTCGTCTTCGGTTTCTAAGTGACGACAACTCCAGTTAAAAATTACATCCCTTCTAGATTTTTTTTTGAGTTTTACTTTCTACATATATTCCAAATCTATTTATCTACTCAATTTTTCAGTGATGCTTCAGTCATTTGAAGAACAATTAATATCTTTGAATTCAAATAAAAAAGAGGGAAAAGAATTGGCAAATTTACCTGGACGTGTTTTTCCAGGTTACAAAATGGTTGAAATTTTGAAGGTTTTTAAGTTTTTTTCAAATTGATAGAATAATTTATTTAGGCAGCAGATATTCATAGACATCAAAGAGAAAGTATTTGCCTTTTAATTGATAGAATTGGGTTGTTTTTGGCTACAAATGGTGAGAAACATATAAATCTTTTTCTTTAAAATTTATGATATGTTAATCCACCAAATCTCCCCGCGCATGCTGATTGTGAGTCGGTAGGACATTTTATTGAATGGACTTTTGACTAGACTTTGAATATTCCATGACTCTAAAAATAATGAAAATATATTCAAATCAAAATTTCTATGTTTAAGCTGAACAAAATCATGGTATTTGGGCAGTTAGAGGAACTTCACTGTCTGCTTTTTCAACGCTTATTTCTCGAGTTTTTGTTGATACATTTGAAGATATGCCAACACAAAATGGCAAATTATTTAACGGAAATTTGTTGTCTTTACAACAACAGGTTTGTTGGGAGATTTTAATTATAATTGGGGGTTTCTCTGACGAATTGTTCTATAAGGGAAAAGAGGGGATCCAGCTGGCTTTTAAAACGCTTACTAGGCGGGGGTTTAGGCTATATTAAAATAAAAGATAAAAGTAGCAGCACCTCTACGTGGTGATTGAAGCACTTAACGATAACTGCCATGAAGTCGCAGGTTCGATTCCTAACCATGGCTTGGCTTAACTTTTACCTATCTCTTATGTTAGTTAGAGTTATTTCTATTATTTTTTTATTTTAAGCAAAATATAGCTTCAAACAACTTTCAATTATTTATTGAACAATATAAAAATGAAAAAAGAAAATATTTTAGCAATAATTCATTAAATGAAGAAGAAACAAATTTTGATGGTTTGGTAGAAGAAAATGACGGCTTGAAAGAAAAAGTTGGGATTACACTGCATTATTGGTATTTATTTTTAAATTTATAGAATTGATACCCTCTCACTTTACATATTTTATTTTAAATTATCGAGAAAGAAGAATAAGAGTGAGGGCTTTTACTCATTTCCAGGGTTAAACAGAAGAGAGTATTAAAATTTTATAAAAAGACCTACTCGAAAAATCATTCCAGAATTTTTTGTCTTTCTACTTGTTTCTAAAACGTGATTCACTTTTTGACCGATATTTCTTTTAATTAAAAATAATTTTTTTTCTCAAACTTCAAGGTGTTTCAATGCAGGTGTAGCAATGCGCTTCCTCGATTCAAGAGGCACACGCTCAATAATTTTTGCTTCTGGAACATTAGCACCTTTACCAAGTTTTATCAGCACAATGGGAATGTATGTGAAGGAGAATTTTGCAAACTTTTTAAATTTTTTAGACATTTTGGAGCTATATTAGAATCTAAACATTGTGCAAATAAAAATCAACTAGTTATTGGTGCATTAAGAAAGGGATCAAATGGAACTGATTTGTTGGGGACTTTTCAAAATAGGTGAGGGAAAAGTTTTCATTTTAATAATAAGAATCCTTATGAGATTTACTTGGGGTAAGAATGTTAAACAAAAATTTGACAGCGGGCAGGAACTTGTGACCCCTTGGTAGTTAAGGTTAGGAGCAAGGCTAATACCACATTAAATTGCACTACTTACTGAGTTACTCTAGCAAACTAGAACATCTCTCTAAATTTTCCTTGTTTTTAAATTCTAAAAATTTTTAATATTTTTAAAACAGAAATGACCCTACTTATAAACAAACTATTGGTGAATTAATTCTTCAAGTGGCCAGTGTTACACCTCAAGGGATGTTGGTATTTTTCCCTTCTTATTCACAAATGAATACATTTGTCGAATTTTGGAAGGTGAGACTGGGAGAATTAGGGGAATGAAATTTTTTTGAATTTATAGAATTTAAAATTGGCAAATGGGCAACAATTTTGGGCCCTTTTAGAATGTCAAAAACAACTTTTTATTGAACAAAAAGATAAATTCAACATTCCAATTTTGCTAAAAGATTTTGATTCGGCAGTTTATGGGTCAGTTGGAGGAGCTCTTCTTTTTGCTGTTTGCAGAGGAAAAGTGAGATCGTCTAATAATTCATATTGGAGACCAGAATCCTACAAATCTCGTTAACGGTTTTTGAAATATATAAAAATTTTGAGACATTTTTTTGTGAATCTAGGTCGATTCTTAAGTCCTGTCTCGTTACTGCTTATTAGCGTCTTCAAACACGCCGAAAACTATTACTTTAAAAATTAATTTTATTTTTTAATTATTAGTTGAGCGAAGGCATAGACTTTGCTGATAGCCATTGCAGAAGTTTAATAATTGTTGGCATTCCATTTCCTCCTTTATTTGATTCTCGTGTTATTCTCAAGAAAAGTTATTTGTTAGAAGCTGCCAACACTAAAAATAAAAATTCAAATAATTATTTGTTGAGTGCTGATGAATGGTACAAAGTTGAAGGAACACGAACTGTTAATCAAGCTCTTGGACGTATAATTAGACATAAAGAAGTTTGTTTTTAATTGGAAAAAACAAGTTAACAAAAATAATTTGAGAAAGATTTTGAAAATTTTGTGGGTTTAAAATTTTGGTGCAGTTATTTAAAAATGATTTAAATCCTGATTATTTTTTTAAAAATTGTTCTGAAATTTTTTTTCCCAGGATTTTGGTGCTGTCATTTTGGCAGATTGCAGGTTTGGGCAATTAATAGATGGTCGAAAAATATTTTTTTATTTTTTAATAAAGATATGCAACAATGGATCGTAATATGTTCCCTTCATGGATGCGTGATTCAATAAAAATTCATTCCGAGCCAAATACAATATTGCCCTGTATTGAAAGATTTTTTACTGAAAGAGGGTTTTTGGGGCGTTCCTCAAAAAATGTGAAAAATAATTTTGAATCTTCAATAATTTGTAAAAAACAAAATTATTCTTCTCCAAAAGACAACATTTCTTCTAGAAAAAGAAATGAACGACATTTTATATTAAACGAAAATATTTTAGAAATTTATGACCAATTTCAAGTTGAAAAAGAAAATGATGAAAATAGTGGTGGTACTTGTAGTCAAATAAATTTAAATAAGGTAAATTTTTGGTTTTGATTTGGTGGTTTTAGTTTTACGTGGATTACGGCCGAATTCTATCCCTTTAATGCAACGCTAACAAAGATCGCGAGCGTCTTGCGACAGATGCTCGGCGACGATATGCTGCTATGTTTTTAGTTAAAATTGGCGTCTTACCAAAGAGATGTTGAAGACGCCTTGTTTATTTTTATGTCTCCAGCGTCTTTTCGTCGAGCATCTGTCTCAAGAGATGTTTATCTAAGCGTCGTGCGAGAAAAACGTTTCCCGGATTTGACGCAAAAACGTTAATTCTTTAAATTTTATATTTTAGGGATTGTTAAATTCTTCAAGTTTTTCTACTGAATTAGCTTTAAATAGAACAAAGAGACGAAAAACAGGCCAAACAAAATTGCTAAATTTCAGTGCAGATTATTTTTCTGAACGTAACGAGTTTTGATATGCTATCAGAAAAAGATTTTTTCAAATTTTGCCATTTAATTTCTTTTTATTTTTGTATTGTTGTTTATATTTAGATCAGAAAATAACCAGAAAAATCTACATATTACTGAATTAAATAACCTGTTCAATTAATTTTGTACATTCATTTTATATATTTCTTAAATATAATCAGAATGATATTTTATTTTTTTATAAACCAAGGTGTCTCTTTAGGAGCCTTTTGGCGATGAACATTATTACTGATTTGATTAGCTATTCTACTGACTACTTTAAATTTGTAATGATTGATAATCTTAAAAACAAAAAATTCTTTCCTATGACTTAAAGAAAATTTAAAAATTTTTCAATAACTAAAATTTGTTAAACGAAACCAAATATGAGTGTGGTTACGGACTTTAGCAAGACTAATATAGTTCCATAAAAATTTTGGCAATTTCGATCCCGCCCGGTTTTCTAGCAACACAATATCAAAATTCATATCCATTAGCATGCAATAAATAAATGAATACATTTTTGTTGAATAAATTATTTTTAAAATTAAAATTTTCAATTACAATCTAGTACATTTTTTAATAAATTTAAACATTTAATAAATTTAATATTTACTTTCCTTTTTTAAAGAAACACAAAAAATTTTTTTAATTTTAAAAACAATTTTTAATCCTTTTGAAATATTTATTGAAGCAATTAAAATTAAATTTTGTAGTTACTTAGTATATGTTTTTTTAATTTTTAAAATTTTCTTATACAGTGTGTTAATAAATTATAACCCCCCTTGAATTTTTTGAGTTTCTTACCTTCCCGATGTCGGATTGTTCTGAAATTTCTGTAGTAGTGTAGTAATGTATATTAAATAATATTTACAAAATATCTTTAAAAATTTCTGATCTCAGACTTTTTTTGGACGTTTTTTTCAAAAAATCAGTGTTAATAAATTATAACCCCCCTTTAAAAAAATTTTTTTAACGCATGGAATATCTCTACAAAAATTTTTCTGAACATATCTACCAATATAGATAAGAAATACAAAAGAAATGAAGTTCCTATGTATTCCCATCATTGAGATCTCGAAATCCGAAAATCAACGGAAAATCGGGGTAGACGTCTTTAAAAAATATTTTCGACACCTTACAGGTGAAATAAAAATTTTATTTTAGGCTTATCTTAAAGCCCTTTAAATTTGCTACAAGATAGTTTTTATCTCATTATATAGAAAAAATTCACCGTAGAGAGACAAAGTGATAAATTTTCAAGTCATAGAAATCACTCAAACGCCCCCAAAAATTGATGGAAATTTAACCTATTATTTAAACTCATAGTTTCTTATAAGCGAATTTTTTTCTGAAAATAAAATTAATGCTATCTTGTAGCAAATTTAAAGGGCTTTCAGATAAGCCTAAAATAAAATTTTTATTTCACCTGTAAGGTGTCGAAAATATTTTTTAAAGACGTCTACCCCGATTTTCCGTTGATTTTCGGATTTCGAGATCTCAATGATGGGAATACATAGGAACTTCATTTCTTTTGTATTTCTTATCTATATTGGTAGATATGTTCAGAAAAATTTTTGTAGAGATATTCCATGCGTTAAAAAAATTTTTTTAAAGGGGGGTTATAATTTATTAACACTGATTTTTTGAAAAAAACGTCCAAAAAAAGTCTGAGATCAGAAATTTTTAAAGATATTTTGTAAATATTATTTAATATACATTACTACACTACTACAGAAATTTCAGAACAATCCGACATCGGGAAGGTAAAAAACTCAAAAAATTCAAGGGGGGTTATAATTTCTTAACACACTGTATGTGTTATTTTGTAGTTCAAAAAAAGTTATTGAGAAAAATACTACTAAATTTAAACTTTTTTCAATTTACATATTTTTAATTTTTAGTTTCTTTTTTAGTTATTTTAATATTTATTCTTATATCCATCAATCTATTTTTAAATTTTTAATGAGTTTATTCTCATCACATTATTTTCATACATTTTTGTTGCCAAAAATTAATTTTGAATTTTTTTATTTAATATTACTACATTTTTTTAATTTTTAAAATATACTTATTAATTTAATATTTAATTTTTTTTCATTATTTTCTTCTTTTCATTAGAATTTTTTAAAATAATTATTTGTTTCTTTTTATTTTTCTATAAATTTGAGAAAATTAAAGAATAATCTTTAAAAAACCAGAAAACCCTTTTATTTATTAAAAAATTAAATGTTTAAAATAATATTTTAATTATTTTTTATCAAAATATTTTTTTCTTTATTTTCAACCCCTTTTATTTCTTCTAAATTAGTTCCATTTTTAATTTCAGAAAAATCATTCGCCGTAATATTTTTATTTTTTGAACGTCCATAAAGTATATCTAATAATTCAAATTTAATTAAATTTTCATCAATTAAATTTAAAGGTTTTAAAGTAATATTGTTGTTGTTGTTGTCTTCTTTTATTGTTTGGTTATTTAATAATTTTTGTATTTCTGAGGAAATATCTTGTTGATTTTTATTTAAATTGATATTTTTGTTGTTTTTATTGTCTTTAAAATAATAAAATATTTTTTATTAAATTTGTTTTAGCGGTTCGGGATTAGTTGAGGGCCCGGGGCTTTAATTTAAAATATAATTAAACTTACAATAATTTAATGTTTTATTTTCTTGACATAAAACAATTAAATTAAAACATAAAATTAATATATTTAATAAACAAAATTTTAGTAAATTATTTGGAAACGGAAATCCGTAAAGTATTAACATTTTTATTTATTTTTTTAAATTGAATTTAAAAAATATAATTTTTAAAAAATATTTTTGTTGGTTAAATTTGAGTAGAATATTATTTTAAATTATATTTATAATATATTAAATTATTTGTTAGTACTAGATTATCCTTTTTCATCTTTTTTTTTTAATCTCAATAAAAAAATTTTTTTAATTAAAATTTATTTGTTTTTTTCTGATTTATTGGAAAATATTAAATTAATTTAAAATGGTGAATAATATATTAATTTAAAGGAAATTTCTTTTTAAATTAATTATTTATTTTTTAATATAAAAATAATTAAATTAATTTTTTATTCCCCCCCCCTTCCCTTTTATTTATTTATTTTCATAAATCCATTAATGACGTAAAATATAAACTAAAAAATATTTTAAAAGCAAGAATCATTTTCCTTTTTATTTATTTTTTTAAAAGAAAGGCAAATGAACCAAAAAATTTTTTAAAGGGTTTTAGTGCAAATTTAAAGGAAACTAAATAAAAAAATTTTTTGTTAGTTTATTTAAATGTAAAGTAATATCCCTTCCCCTTCCCCCTCCTTCCCTTTCCCCTTCTTATTATGACGGCAACAAAAAACACACAAAGAGGGTGGTGAAATGTTGGAAGGAAAGGAAAAGCTAAAAAGTGTTTAAAAAGAGAGAATTTTTATTTAAAAGTGTCAAAAAATAATTTTTTTAATTTAAATATTATTTAATAATTATTGTGTTTTAATTAAAATAGAATAATCTCTTTATTTAACAATTTTTAACCATTGATCACTCGCAGAGCTGAAGTATAAACGAGATTTAAAATTTTTGTATTTATTCTAAATAATTAATTTATTTAAACGTCATTATTAATTAATTAAATAAAAGTACTACCTAACAATAATAAACACATTTATTTTATTTAATTAATTTTTTAATAACCTCCAATTCGTCATGAATTTAAATATTTAAAAATAATTATTTATATATTTGACGTATTTTTTTTTGTTTATTTTTTCTTTTCAATTTTTTTATAAAGAATTTTTTTAGGAAAGTTTTTTTTTAAATAATTTTTTATAGAAGCAATTAAAATAAAATTATTTTTATTTTTGTAAACTTTCTTTCCATTTTTATTAAAATAATTTTATATTTTATTTTTTTAATCATTTAATTGAAATATAAAAAAAAGAAAACTGAATTTAAAAAAAAAGTTTTTCTTTAATTTAAACTTTTATCTTTTCCAAATTTAAAATATAGCATGATGCTAATTTATATTTAGTAATTATTTAAAGGTTAATAAATACAAAAATTAATCTAAATATATTTATAGACAATGCAGGTAGGTAAGTAATTTTTTTTTGTTTTTTAACAAAAAATTTCAACACGCAAATTAATTAATTAAATATATTTTTAACCCTTTTTTTTATAAAAAAAAAGAAATGCGATTATTTAAATTTATTTTGTTAGTCACTCACTCTTTTTTAAGAAGAAGGGGAAGGAAAAGTGAGCCGAAAATTATTTAATTTAAATAAAACAAAAATTTAAAATATTTTTTTAAAATGAAATATTAACACCTATAGTTTATTTTAAAAAATTCTTTTCCTCAACAGAATTTTAAAAATAAATTTTAGTATATTTCTCAGAATTTTCAACTCCAATTTTGTACTATTTTTATAAATTCACTTCCTTTTTTATTAATTAATTATTCTTCTTTTTATTTTTAATTAATTTATATTTAAATTAAAAATTAATTCTAGACATTTCTCCAAACTTTTTTAAAGACTAAAAATCATTCAAATTAAAAAAAATTATTTTTTGAGAGATTTTCCAAGATTTGTTCAAAAATTGTTGTCATCTAAATAAATTCTTAAAAACTCCCCCCCCCCCCCCCCTTCCCTCTTCCAATTTATGTAAAATAAATTTAAATTTTTTTAACGTAATAATCTAAACTTTTCTTTTCTTCCAAGTCATTCCCAATTAAGAATCTTTTCATTTTTATTTATTCAGACATTCTTATAAAACCCCCCAAAAACTTCCTTTTTGGTACTACTGAAGATAAGGGTGCTATTTCTGCGGACTTATTTTGCGGACTTTTCCTTTCTTTCTTTTTTAATGTTTTGGTTCTTTTGCTTGTAGCGAGTTTTGCTTGTAGCAACTAAACTGTCAAAGGATTAATTTTTATGCCTATTTGAAAAATATGTGTTCACCATTAATTTGAACATTATAAACGATGATGAATGAATTTCAACTATGGATCACTGATCTCGGAATGCTTCATAGAAAAAGAATATGTGATTGTGGATCAAAATGCGGGTAATTTCAAACCTTGTCCCCCCCCCTCCATTATTTTTATTACCTAAGATTGTACAAAATGGTCAGATTTCCTTCTTCCTCTCTTTCCTCTATTTGAGCTTGGCATATCAAACCAGAAACATTGTTAAAGAGAATAATAAAATTAATTGAGTTGTTCAATATTGAGTTCAATTTTTTTTCAGTTGTTAAATTAGTTTTAAATATAAGTAAGAATGTAATGTTTTTACACAGAAATTCATAATGTTATAGACTAAATCAATTTTATTTAATTCTTTTTTTGTTTAACATCGTTTTCGGAGGCAAAAAATAAGTGTATGACTATAAAATTAATCTTCTCTTTATCAATGTCTCTTGTTTGAATATGCCACAGGGCAAATAGAGGAAGGAGGGGAAGAAGAAAATTTGACCTTTATGTACAATCTTAGGTAAGAAAAATAATAGGGTGGAGGGCCTTTGACAGTTAGTTGCTACAAGTAAAACATGTAAAGGAAAGGAAAAGTCCGCAAAAATAAGTCCGCAGAAAAAGCACCCTTTTCTTCAGTAGTACCCCTTTTTTTGTCCTTTTTTGTGTTAAAAATTAAAAATCTTTTTTATTTTTCCCCTCTTTTTTTAGTCTCCTATTTTTAACTTTTTAACACTTATAAAGTCATCAACTTTTTCATACTTTTTTAGTGACCAAAAGAAAAGAAAAAAAAAGTAAAAGTGCGTGTTGTCGGCCACTTTAACTACTAATTTAGTACTTTAAATATTATTTTCGTCATTTTACACCAAAAAAGAAAAGTTCTCACTCAACGGAAATCCGAGAAAAAGAATGGCAAAAGAAACAAAAATAGGGGGGAATTCCTCCTCTTCTTTAAACAAAACAATTTTAAATGGGAAAATGCGCAAAGAATTTAAACAACAAAAAAATAAAAGAATGAATTTTTCTTTTGGATTGATAAAATCAAAATTTATTTTAAATTTTTGTTTAATTATTGCAATAATTATTTTAATTGGAAATGGAAATTATAATGTTTATGCTAATGAAATTAGGTAAATAAAGGGAAATTAAAAGAGGAAATTTTATTTTTATTTTTTCAGAACATCATTTCCATTTGAATTAAATTTATTTGAAAATGAATTTAATGAAATTCCACCACAATTTCAACTTAAATATTCTAATAATTTAGAATTTTTAAAAAGAAGTTTAAACAACAACAACAACAACAATATTCCTTCAATTCTTCCATTTAAACCACAAAAAAGGCGAATGGTTGTCCGTGTCCCTTTTGCAAGTCAAAATCCAGATGGAAGTCAATTAAGTCGAATATACAAACAACTTTTTGAACCAACAGCTACAAGAACTAAAAAGCAACCTTTTTCACCTTTTTATCAACGTTATTTAATGGAAGCAGCAACAAAAGAAGAAAATAAAATTTAAATTAATTAAAAACAACGAATTAAGGAAGAGGGAAGAGAAAAAGATTTATATAAATAAATAGAGATTTTTATAAAGAAATTGTTCCTGTCTAATATTCATAATAAAAATTTGAGAAAAAAATATTGAAATTAAATGGAGTTAAAACTTTTTCAGTATATTTTTTAAATATTCACAATTTCTCTCTTAAAAAATTTTTTTGTTGAACAATTTTGAGGAGAATTACAAACCAAATAATAATTCTAATTAAAAAATATCCAAAAAGTAGTTAAAAACATTTAACTAATAATTCTTTTAACTAATAATATTTTGCATTAAATTTAAACATTTTGACAAATATAAAAGATCACTTTTCTGTTTTTTAAATAATATTTGAAATTTACTTGAAATATTTACTAAAAATATATTATACTTTTAAAATTTTCAAATTAAAGCATTATATATATTTCAGCCTGGGCCCAGGAGTTTGTTACTTAAACTACAAGCCAAAAAAATATTGTAAAATTAGTTTAGGCCCAGACTTTTTAAATTCTTCAATCTTCCTTTTAATTAATTAAAACAAATTTTGTAGCGAAAAATTTACGTCAAATTTAGTAAAGACAAATAAATTCCTAATAAAAATTTAAATTCGCATATTCTCTTTTTTCAATTGTTTTGTCATATTTTTAAATGGATTGCCGAGCTCTTGCAGAACCACCGGCTAAAATAAAAAAAAATATTTTTTTATCTCAAAAAATTTAAATACAATCTATACAGACAAGAAAAAATTTAAAAGAAGACGAGATATTTAGAGAGAAAGTAAAATATATTTTAAATCAATGCTTACTTGCAATTTTAATCATAAGACCAGCCATTTCAGATCCCTACAGAAATATTTTTAAAATTATTTAAATCAATTAAAACCATCATTGCTGGAGAATCTACAACACGAACACCAGCACCACGTAATGCTTCAATCTTTTCACGAGCCCCTCCTTTACCTCCAGCAATTATAGCACCAGCATGTCCCATTCTGCGACCTTAAATAATTTTTTTAAAAGAATTTTTTAAATTAAACAAAACCTTTTGGAGCAGTTACACCAGCAATAAATGAAACAACAGGCTTTGCATTAGGTCCAGTATTATTTTCTAACAAAAATTTAGCAGCACTTTCTTCAGCATCACCACCAATTTCTCCAATCATTATTATTCCTCTTGTATTTTGATCATTCAAAAAAACCTTTTAAAAAAGTCTTTAGGAAATAATAAATTTTAAACAAATTACATCTAAACAATCAATAAAGTTTGTCCCATTAAAAGGATCTCCACCAATTCCAACACAAAGGGATTGACCTAGACCAACTTCTGTTGTTTGATGGACAGCCTTTAAAGTATATATTTAAAAAAACAATTCTCTAAAAAAACCTCATATGTTAAAGTGCCAGAACGAGAAACAATTCCAATGACACCTTTTTTGTGAATATGTCCAGGCATAATACCAATCTTGCATTCTTCTGGTGCAATAATTCCAGGACAGTTTGGGCCCAAAAGACGAGTTGTGTTTTGAGCCAATAAACGACTTTTAACTCTTACCATGTCCTTAAAAGAATAAATTAGTATGTATATTAAATTTAAATAATTTATACTAATTGAGGTATTCCTTCAGTTATACAAACAACTAAACCAATGTTTGCATCAATTGCTTCATTTATTGCTGTAGCAGCAAATGGAGCTAGAAAAATTTTTTATAAAAAATTAGAGATAAAAAAGGATTAACCTGGCACATAAATCACAGAAGCATCAGCACCAGTTGCATCTTTAGCTTCCTAAAATAAAAAAAATATAAATATAGAACAAAATAAGAATACTTTTGCTGTAGCAAATATAGGCTTTCCCAAATGTTGAGTTCCAGCTTTAGAAGGAGAAACACCTCCAACCACATTTGTGCCATACTCAATCATTTGCTGGCCATGGAACGTCCCTTGTTTTCCAGTAAATCCTTGAATTAAAACCTAAAAAAAATTAAAACATAAATTAGATTTAAAAAATAAACTTTAGTATTTTTGCCAATTTTAAGATTTTGACGAGTTGAAGTGTAAAAACGTACAGAATTAAAGAAAACTTGTTTAAGAACAACCATTTTAAATCTATAAAGGTCAATAAAACAAAATTGGATATAAAAAAATCAAAAGATATTTAAAAAAGAATAATAATCTAATAAAATTTAAATTAAAATAGGTAAATATTGCTTCTTACAAAAAAAGAGCGCTTCAATAAAATACATTAATTTTCATTTTAAGAGATCTCTCAAAAATTTGAGGCATTTAAAAAAAAAGAATTTAAATTTTTTTATTCATCATCACTTCTTTCCCCTCTCTCATTTTGTTGTTGTTCATCAATTTCTTCTACCAAAGTCGTTTCCTCCAAATAATCCAAAAGTGGATCAATTTTATTTTGAATAATTTTATTGGCCTGTTCACGGTCATCACAATTCTATTTAAATTTAAAAATAATTTAAAAATTTTTTTAAATTAAAAACCAGTAAAGCTTCTTTCAGAACTGCTACACTTTTTCTAAGAGCAATTTCTACCGGACCGGCATTAAAAATATCCTCCAAAATTTCTTTTAATTTAATAAACATATTCGCAGTCTCATTTAAAATTAAATAAGTAAGTTGGCCAGCAATTAAATGTAAATCAACACATCTCAAAAACATCTAAAATTTAAAAGTAATCTTAAAATCTACAAAATGTAAAATTTACTTTCATGACATTAAATGTCGGTCTCGTTTCTTTAATGACGTCGGCAAACCATTTTAATTCATTATACAATAATCTATCATTTGTAGGCAAATTAAGCTCCGCTTCATTAATTGACTCTCTACGAGACGGCTCCTAACAGATTTAATTAAAATATATTCTAAAAATTAAAGACAACCTCAATTCTTTTAGTAATCAATGCCAAAATGTTAAATGTCTCATAAGCAGAAAATAATACTCGAGGATCAAATTTTTGTTCCCAACCAGGTAAAAGCAATAATTTGCCAAATTGTTTATGAATAACTGAGAGACACTAAAAAAATAGTTGCATATAACAAATTAAAAAACCTCAAAAAATCCATCTAGATGAACGGTAAAATTTGTTTTTAATTCCTCACTTGCCAAAGGACTTGAAATCAAAGTTTGAATTAATTTTAATGGACGTAGAAATTCTCCGACAACGTTATCATTTACTTTAACTCGTTTGGAAGGAGGTGATTCTCTATATGGATTAGTCTCCAATCGGCGACGAGAGCTCAATGGAGTAGCAGAAAGTGCTGAAGGATCAGTAATTGCAACAAGGGCATTTCGAAGTTTTCGTAGACCTTAAAATGAGAAAATTTAGGAAAAATATTTTTTTCAATAAATATATTTACCAATTTCTATAATTGAAATTAATTTGTTCATATCCCAAGCTGCAAGTGCCTCAACATAATGAAGAAAATGTTGCTGATTTACATTGTCTTCTTCAATTTTGTTCTTGATACGAAGAAACATTCGTCCAATTTTGTCTTTAGGCAATTGACTCGCAATAACTAAAGCAGAATCCATTATTGCAGAATCATCCTAAAAAATAAGAAAATTAAAAAAAATTAATTTAAAAAATTACTGGAAATTGATTGAGAGTATCTAAAATACTTGACATCATTCGAATCATTTCTAAATTATATTTTGCATTTTTTGCATTAAATAAATCATAACGAATAGCCATCCAAAGAACAATTGACGAATCCAAGACATCTTTTGTTACTCGTAATTTTGTTTGTTCATCTTAATTTTTAAGATTTGAAAATTGAAAAAATTTCATTTTTACCAATATCTCCACCGCCTCCATTCTTTTGTTGTACCTCCTCCATCATTGTAGAAATTCCAGATATATTAGACATATTTAAAACATCAGTTGTATCATTTCCCCCATTTTCAATACCCGCACTCTTCTTTAAAATGATTTTTACTCCAAGCAACAGACTCCGAATATGATGAACTAAAATGGATTTAAATTTAAAATTAAACTTTAATCCTATCACAAAACCTGCCATTTCTATTCCAATCAATTTTTGTGGGTAAATTAAATGATGTAAATGGAAAGAAGCATTTCTTGATACTTTGCACATTAAAAAGACACGTTTAAACCGTTCCATATAATCGATACCCTCAACATGTTTTGGAATAAACGGGCGGAAAAGAAGTTGAACGATTTCACGTTGCACCGATTTTGAATGCTCAAAATCGAGTCGAAGCAATAAATTATTCATTGGGATTAAATCCAACAACTAAAAATAAAAGGAAAATAAAATTTTGGCAAAATCTACAAATAACCTTAATATAACGATGTCCATGTAGTTTATTCAACATTCGAAAAGCAGTCAATCTAACTTTTTCTGTTTTATCATTTGTTCCCCGCTTCGCAAGAATTTCCAAAGAACGCTGTGTGGCAGTAAGAGCATCAGCACGAGGTAGTAAATTCCCAATACCCTCATAAACAGCAGCACGGACCTCTGGTAGAGCATCGAGTGAAAGACAGTCAACAATCTTAAAAAACGATAAATTTAAGAAAAGATTTTATAGAAAAAACCTTAGACAAATAAGCTTTAATTAATTCACGAGGAAAAATTTCCCAATGAGCGCACAGGTGGCGAGGCACCATTTTGAGAGCAAAAACACGAATAGGAACACAATCATCCATTAACATTCGATCTATGGCTTCTTGTTGTCTTTTTAAATATTCTTCTTTGACCTATTAAAAATTAAAAAATGATAACAAAAAAAAAGAAAAATATACAAATTCATCATCAGAAAGCAAAGGAAAAAAATTGAGAACAATCCAAGAAGCAGCAGTTCGGACTTGATTATTTGGAACCTAAAAATATATTTCAGAAAATAATGGAAAAATTACCTCAAGATTTCTCCAAACAACGGGAAGTGTACACCGAAAAAACATTGCCCTTAACTTTTTACTCGGATTTTCGTCTTCAAGAAATGCTTCAATTATCTAAAAATTAAATAAATATACAAATAAATTTAAATATTAACCCATTGAAATCTTTGAGAATAAGGCTTTTTTGTAAATATTGCACAATGGAAGAGCGGCTCAATTATTTCAGTTTCAATTTCTGCTCGTTTTGCTGCTCCTTGATTTACTTTATCTAATTTTGGAGCATTCTTCCAAGTACGTAAAATATGTCTTCCCCAATCATTACAACATTTCCTAAAATTATTTATTTTTATTAAATAATTATAGATACATATTTGGTGTATCCACAACAACATCTTTTTTTAAAGATTGCCAAAAAGCAACACATCCTTCAATATCAATATCCATTTGAATCTAAATCTAAAAAAAGAAAACAAAATTAAAAGCTTAAAAATCACTATTTGAAATTAGTAAAATGATGAAATGGTGTGAAAACAATTAATTGAAAACAGATGAAAACAATTGAATTATGTCAAAAAGTCAGCAAGACTCTTTTGTCTTTACATTTATTTTCAGTCTCAGCACAAACCTAAACCTTTAGGCTTGCTTGTCAATAGAGTCTCGGCGACTTAGCATCGAAACGCCTTTTTCTATGCCATAACTTTTTTTATTTCGATCATTTCCAGAAATTTTCTTTATCAATTAGAATCTATATTTGTTTTTATTCTTTTTATTAACTTTATGAAAGGATCCGATCATTTCTTAGAAAGTTACACCCGCCTAAGTATGTTAAATCACGATTATTCGCAGTTAACGGCTCCTAACTTTTTTGAAAGACGGTAAAACTAAACAATTTCTATGAAAAAATAACCAGCACATCCAGAGCTTTTAATTAAAGAAAAAATTATTTGGATTGGTTTAAAAACAAAAAAGTTATATCCCAAAAACTTTCGTTTTGATGCCATATTTTAAGACTCTTTCGTTACCTGGTTACTTTTAGTCTAAACCTTTTGAAGCCTAAACCTTTAGGTTTTTAAACATTTGAGTCTCACCACGTCTTTAATTTCTTTTTAATTCTAGCTTTTTTAATCGTTTGTTCTTCTTAATTAGTGTATAAAGATGAACCAGAACTGATATTCTGGTAATAGAAATCCCATAAATTAAGAATCACATAGATAATAATTTTTGAATTTATTTATGAATTCCTTGGAGAATTTCATTCCTGGATGGAATAGAATCGATGTTGGAATTTCGTCAACAACAGCCTCAACCCAAACGGCCCTCTTTAGGGCCACAAATTTAATAAGTGAGATGAGGACAATGACTTTTATTTTTTGATAAATTTGTTTATTTGACTCATTTTTTTAAAAAATTCGTTCCGTGAAGAAAGAGACCAAGACCTCACCTAAGACCGAAAACCCTCAAGATAGTCTTCTCCCATTTTCCACAAAAATTGTGATTTCTTTATGAATAGTGAATTTATAAATAAATACTTATTTTTTATATATTTTTTGTTTTTAGATAAATAAATTTGGAGATGAATTCTCTGCCACCCGAAGTTCAACTTGATGTATTAAAATGTGTTAATTTCGATCAATTAGTCTCTGTTAGACAAACAAATCGTTATTTCAATAATTTTATTGATGGATATCAAAATGAACTGGCTCGCTTGAAATTCAATAAACTTAACATAGTAAATATTTAAACTTTTGTTGTATTTTTATTTAATTTATTTCAGAGTATCGATGCTAATATTAATCAATCAACTATTTATGAAATTATTCCCCTTGAATCTGTAATTTCTAAATTTGTTTTGAATGATCAACTTAAAGAAAAGGTTTATTTTTAATTTTTATTTGGTTAAATTATTTTTATATATTTTAGTGGCAACAAGCGATATCTAAATCAATTCCTTTGTATTTGCAAGATTATGAAGACAGAAATCCATTTGCTGTTAAATTGGACAAAATATATTTTGATTTAAAGAAAAAGAAACTTCGGCATTACATTTTAAAATTGCCAAACTTTCCAAAAAACATAAAAGAAATGTCTATTGTTCGATGCTGGTTAGAACGACTATTTAATTGTTTCTTCGAGTATACCGGTTTCAACAATCTATTTAACCCAGAAATGATTAATTTGTTATTTGATAACGACAAATCAATTCCTCTTCGATTTATTATTCAAAAACCGTCTCTAAACGTTGGCAGTTTATCTTATGGATTGGATAATGCTTTGAAATTTGTTTTGAATCATTTATCAATTTCTGAGTCTCTTATTATTGATTTTAATGAGAACAACATTTTGGAGCAACAAATGGATATTTTATTCAATATTTTAACAAAAGAAGGCAATAAATGGTCACAATTTTGTTTAAAAAGTTACAGATGTTTTGAGATGTCACGGCTTTATGGACTTATTTTTGAGGTAAATTATTTGGAACTTATGCAGTTTGGGTACACACCCCAATTTATTCGCAAGCTTAAAATAGTCAAAGTAACCCTATTGTGGTGGCAAAATGCTTGTGCATAATTCCTCGCAACGTGCTAGGTTATCCAGCACGCGTCTCGCAAGAATCGAAAGTTGCTTTGTTTAGTACGCAGTAGGAATTGCTTATTGTTATCTCGCGAATATGAATGTGTTGTGTATCCAAACTGCATAAGTTCCAGTTATTTAATTATAATTTCAAATTATTTTTGAAATTTTAGCATATAACATCCAAAGACTGTTCAAAATTAGTGCCTGTTATTATGTTAGAATATATTTCTGAATTAAATTTTGAAGTGAACAAGGAAACTGAAAATGTTGAAATTAAACAATTTAATGGTGTGAAATATACAAAATACCAAATCACCAACAAACATGATCCGAATCTTAAATTTTCATTTTGCAATGCAGAATTTAAAGAAGGGAATACAGATTTTACCTTTAAAATAAGAATAGTGAAAATATAGAATTTAAAGGACTTGGAAATTCTATCGATTTTTTGAAATTAAATATTAAAATTTATTTTTTAATTAAAATTTTTTAAAAATTTATTTTCAAAAATTCCATGCCAAATTATTTTTAATTAGATATTTTAGAACTTCTTAATATAAAAATTTGACCCTATATGAAAACAAGGGTCCCTTGGTTTCCCATCATTTTTTCCTTCATTAAAATCGTCAATTTATTACATAATGGTCAGCCTTTCTTCACCGTTGAAATACAAGTTTGCCTCCAGCTTAGTCAAAGGAGAAATAAGAAAAGGAATAATGGAAAGAGAGAAAAATGCCACAATACAGGCAAATAATACTTTCAAAGGCCAAAATTTTAATTTGGTAAAAAATATTTAATAATATCCACAATTTATTGGAAAGATGCTTCCTTCTAAAAAATATAAACTATTTTCTATTTTTCCACCTTTTAGTGCGCAGCGCTCGACCGATTGACCTAACAAAGATTGAGTTATTGAGGACTTACATTAAAAAAATTTCTCCTTTTTGTGTACTTTTTGTTAAGTTTTACTTTTCTAATGTGTGTTCTCTTCTCTTCCTTACTTTTTAAAAAAAAAGTTGCTGCAGCTCTACACATGTATGTAAAGTCCATTCTTGTCTCTTTCAGGTCAGCTTGGAGAGAAATATATACTAGTCTTTTGGCCAATCCTCCGCGCATCCACTACACAATTTTTATGAAATTTGTTCACATCCAAAGAAGGAAAAATCCTTATAATCGAATATATTAACTTTAAATAATTAAATAATTAAATTAAAAGGATCAATTAATTCTTATTCTTTATTTTTTAAATCTTCAAAAATAAAATAAATATATTACAGTAATCTAAGATTTAATTCTCTCACTTATGTTAATTAAATAATTTAAAAATTTATTTTAAAAATGCTTTGTCAAAATTATATTCAATTAATTATTTAAATAATGTCTAAAACTTCAAATAATTATTTTTTAAATAAATGCTTAAATATTTTTATTTTCCAAAATTCTTCATTTTATGCCTTCATTATTATGCCTTCCAACAAATTCTTTATTAAATTATTTAATTTCTTCTTTATTCTTCACCTTTACTCGTTTTCTTTAACTTTTGCGTATGCAACATTTAGTATGTTTAAAATAAAAAATGTTTTTACTAAAACTCATGGACCTAACACCAAATTGAAACATCTTGAGTTTTTTTTCCGAGTAGCCAAATAAATATTTAAAAATATTTTAAGGCGATAATAATATCCTTTCATTGTGAATAAAAATATACAAAAAATATTAAATTTAATTAATTCACTATCAATTAAAAACATTAAAACCTCTCTACATATTCTTTAAATTTTCCTGTTTCTTTAAAATATTTTAAATTAGGTTGGCCAATGGCTCGAATACCTTTTGAGGACGATTCCAGGCTTACAGCTGATAATGATATGGCTGTAGCTTTAAATAATGCAAGGATGGATTTACAAGTGTTTTTTTAAAAGAAATTATTTTTAAAAATTAATTTTTAAGGCAAGAACTTGTGTCCGTTTAGTGCCAAGAAAAACAGAAAAAGATTATGTACTTTTCACAGATCTTGGCCAAAATGTTGAATGTTGGAATTTGTTCGAACCCCTTCCACCTAAGGGACAAGTTTTGGTTAATGCTGGGCCTTCCTGTCTTGAACCAATGAAACGACCACACAAACCAAAACGTGTTTTTTCTGAATGTTTGGAGGAATTATTTTATTCAAAAAAATATTTAAATATTTTAAAGGCGATATAGAATATGTTAATCACCTCTATAATTGCCCTAAAAGGCGAAAACCTTCCCCAATTTGCCCAACTGGCCGTTTAATTATGTCTAAACCAGATGAATATTTTGAACGTAATTTAATTACTACAACAACTGAAAGACAATTAAGTAATGAAGAAATATTTTCAATTGGAGAAGGAGGGGGAAGAGGAGGAAATGAAGAAGATTATTTACCTTTAAATGAAAAAGAAGAAAAAGGGAAGAAATTTAATAATAAAAATGTTGAAGAAAAGGAAGAGGAAGAAGAAGATAGTATTAGGGAAAGACCTTATATTTCAATTAGTATTGAAGCTGAAGAAACTGAAGAGGTAAAAATTGAGAGAAGGAATTTCCTAAACCGTATATGCTGAAATAATTACCCTGGTTAATTATTATTTTGATCTCTCGCTGGGGAGGGGGGGGGGTAATTATTTGAGGTAATTCTTTCGGCAAATGTATATACGTTAAGTGAAAAAACCTGACTTTTAAATATACGTATTCTGTTATTATTTTTAAATTAATTTTTATAGTTAGAGTATTCAACTATAACTACAGAATTACCAACAACAACAATAGCAACAACAACTATTTATCCTGTAACTGAAATTGAAGAACAAACAGTAACGGAATCTAATAATATTGAAGAACAAATAGAAAATAGTACAGAATTAATTGAAATACAACAAGTTTTTAATTAAAATTTTAAAAGTTTTTATTTTTAATTTAAAGACAACAAGTAAAACAACAGAAAATTATTTGTCTACAGAAGAGGTGTTGACTACTTCTAGTACATCCTTAGCTAATTTAGAAGAAGAAAATAATTTATTAATTACTTCGCCTGACGAAGAAAAAGTTTTTTTTAATTAAAAAAATTTTCAAAAAAATATTTTTTTAGCTAACAACAGCAACTCCTTCTTTTAGCACTTCATTAGATACTTCTTTATCTACATTCGAAACAAATATTCCAAATCCAACAAATATCGTCGACATACCTTCATCAAATAAGTTTGGAGAATCGTTAGGGGTTATGGGCAGACAGCCATATCCTTTGATGATGACATTAATGTGGGTACTGGCAAAAAATATTTTTTTGAAAAACAAAAATTCCCTTCCATATACCCCAAACATTTTTCTTAAATTATTTTCCCAAAATAATTTTTCTATTATTTAAAAACCAACAGTAGAACAACAACAACCACAACTATTTTACCTCCAACCCCTGAATGGGTACGTTCTGTAGAAGAATCTTTTTTGGCTGGAGAACAATTAGGAGGGGGAAGTGGAGAGAAAAAAGAAATTATTGGAGAAAAACCAAACGGCGATGGATGGAGAATATTAAGCACTATTGGACCACCTCCACCAATGCCTATACCTCCAATACTTCCCCCCTTTCAACCTTTACAACCATTTCAACCTGTTGGAGAAGAAGAAAAAGAAATTATTTCTAAAATTGGAGGAGGAAGTGGGGGTTCTAATCCTTTAGACCCGTTGCCTATTAAGGTAAAAATGAGGAGTAGTTGAGAGCCGATATTTAAATATTTTAATTAAGCCTGGAGTTATTGGAATTAGAAATGGTACTCGAATAAATAGTCAAGAAGAAGAAGAGGAGGAGGAAGAAATAGATAAAAGTTCAAATTTAATTGAAAATAATAAAGGCCCAAAACAAAAAATCTCAGCTTTTCTTGGAGTTATTCAACTTCCACCTGGAGCAGCAATAAATATTAAAGAAAGAACTAAAGTATAGAATTAATTCTGAAATTTTTGAGAATATTTTTAGATAACTAAATTGGTAGAAAGAACTAAATATATTGGACCTTGTGGATCTGCTTGTACTTATGGTGATTGAGTGTTTTTTAAATAGATAGATATTTTAATTTTTAGGTGGAAGGCTTGTTCATCTTTATCGTTCTTTTAACAATAATGTAAAAATTAAAATAAATTAAAATCCATTGTTAAAAAGTCACAAATAATTAAAATTTATTAAATATTGAGAGGGAGTTCTAAGCTAGAATTTTGTTGATTTTTAATTAATGAAATTTTTTCTTATTTATTTATCTGGAGTGGAGTCTTTGGGTTATATTAAATAAATAAACAATTAAAAAATAATATATGTATATTCAATTTTTAGCCTCAAATACTTAACCATTTCTATACAACCGAAAGATTAGAACAACATTTAATGGGAGCACAAGGATTTGTAATGGAACGTAATTAAAAAAATATTTTTAATTAAAATTTATTCTTTTTTTTAAAGCATCAATGGGTTATTTGGGTAAAAACCAAATAGATCCAAATTGTACATGTATTAGACCTCTATATAGATTATATTCTGAATTTGCTAGTAAATTAATTATTTAAATGATTTTTTAATAAATATTTTTAAAGAAGATCATTTTTTAACTTCAAATGAAGACGAAAAAAATATTGCAGAAACTTTATTGGGATATTCTTTTGAGAGAATACTTGGTTATTGTACAAAAGAACCGGGATGTGGGGCTTATTTACCTTTATATAGATTTTATAATGCTATTAATAAAGGTAAATATGGGGTATAAATTAAAATAATATTTAATTTAGATCATTTTTACACAATTGATCAACAGGTTTTTTTAAATAAAAAAATATTTTTATTTAAATTTTAGGAAATGCATTATTACAAAACACATTCTGAATTAGCTTTTGGGTTTGAAAAAATAGAGTAATTTAAAATTAAATAAATTTAAAAAAATATTTTTTGAAAGATGTTATGTTTGGCAAAAAAGTTCAAGTTCTCGAGGATGTCCAGCATTAACTTTAGAAATACAAGAAGATGAGGAGGAAAGGAGAAGGGAAAATGAAGAAAATAAATCTATTAAAAATGAAAAAGAAGAAAATAATAAATCTTTTTCTGATGAAAATATTAAATTAAAAAGAAGAAGGAGGAAGGATTAATTAATTAAGTTTAAAAATATTTAATGATTGATTGTTTGATTGATTTAAAAATATTACCTATTCATTTTTTAAACTGTAAATTAACTTTCTTCAAATACTTACCTAACTTTTAGCTTTCTCTCTCACTCACTCACTTATTCCTTTCTGTTTTGACATGTTCTTCCAATAAGACAACCTTACAACCTTAATTATAAAACCCCAAATAATTCTTATAAAATTATTTGAATCTCTCCCAATTATTCCTTACATGAGCTTTAAAGTGATGAATAAATGAAAGATTTGAACAAAAAAAACTTTTCATCGATTCTCTTTCTTTCTCAATAATTGTCCCGCCTTTCAAGGCCGGTCAAGGTTGTCTTTTATTTTTTTTTAATTTTTATTGTCTTTTAAAAATAAATAAATTTATTTTGTTTATTTTAAAAAATATTTAATTAATGTCAAATAAAATAATTAATGAATTTATATTTGAGGATGGTGAATGGTAAATAAAAGAAATTTTTTAACAAAAAAATTAAAAAATAATTTTTAAAAGGATTTCACAAAGGGAGGCTCGTATTCGTCAAATAATTGTTTTTATTTTCCGTTTTGCTTTAGGAATATTTTTTAGTGCTCATTTATGGGATTTTATGTTTAATCCAATTTGGATGGTTTTTTCTTTAAAATTATTTTAATTAATCATTTTAAAAAAAAGCACGGTTATCTTTGGTCATTAAATCAGCCTTATTTAATGGAAGGAGGAGATTCTTTATCTGAAAAATCAGCTTTGGATATTTTAGAATATCAAAATAAATTTTATGGTCCCTGGCATCAAATGGGATATTCTTTAGTGAGTACTTTGGGGACTTGGCTGATTTTACGGTAATTTAAAAATAATAATTTTTGTCAATAACAAAATAATGCCTAATTTAATGCAAAATTATTTTAATTAAAAAATTCTTTCAAAGTTTTGCTGGCTTTGCTTCTGTTGATCGCTCAGTTTGGCGTCTTATTTTAATTTCTATTTTTTGTGGATTTATTACAGCATTTATTCGTTCATTTTTACAACAACAAAGACTATTTCCTTGTATTCATGAAAGTTTTTTTGTATTTTTACTTATTTTCTTTAATGGAATTTGTTTGGCAATTAATTGGCATAAAAAAGAGGAAAAGGAATTTATTAATTTAAAAGAAAATAAAAAAGAAAAATAATATTTAAATAAAATATTTAATTATAAATATACATTTATTTTTTTAAATAAAATTTAAATAATCTATAAATATTACTAAAAATATTTTTTAAATGTATGAGGTGTTTGCTATAAATTTTCTTTTAATTTATCCATAAATAGAACTTCCACCACTTCCTCCTTCTTCAGCGTTGTTATAAGACGGATATGCATAATTTTGCTGATCAGAAAAACGTGGCTGTGAAGGATCTGGTCCAGCAACAATAACAGAATCAACATTTTGACATACACAAACACCCGGTTGGCCAGGAGGTCCTTGAATTCCTGTAGGGCCTTCAGGTCCTGGATAACCTGGCTCTCCAGGCTCTCCTAAAGAAATAAAAAAAAATAAATTATATATTTTAATTTTAAATGTATAAAAATATACATATTTATTTAAATAAATATTAAAATAAAATTTCTTGCCTGGACTGCCCGGATAACCTCTATCTAAAAATATTATTTAATTAAATAAAATTTATTTTATTTAACACACCTCCAGAAGGTCCAGTCATTCCATTTCGACCAGGTAATCCAGGCACTCCTGAAGCCCCAATGGGACCAGGCGGTCCGAGATCTCCAGGCGGACCTTCCCTAACTTCTCCTATAAATTAACTTTGTTAAATTTATATTTTAAAATATAAATACCATGGGGAGTTTCTCCTTTATCTCCAGGCGGGCCTGGCGGACCTTTAAAACCAGGCGGGCCTTGAGGGCCTGGTTCTCCTTTAAAAATAATTAAAATATACAAATCGAAGTAATTAAACACCTGGTGCCCCATCATCCCCATCACGTCCCTTCTCTCCAGGTGGACCAACAGGGCCAACATCGCCAGGAAAACCTGGCCAGCCTTTAATGCCTGGTGGCCCTTTTGGACATGGCCGGCAAGGTGGTGGTTCTCTGCGTGGTGCAAGAGGACAAGTCTGATTGGGAGAAGTACCAGGAATACCTGGCTTTCCAGCAGGACCGGGTTTTCCCGGAGTTCCTATAAATTTTTTTTAACTTTTCTTTTAATTTTAAAAATTGCCTGGTTGCCCAGCAGGTCCTCTCGGGCCAGGAGGTCCAGGAATACAACATCCAGGACATTCAGTCTGTACTGGAATGCCCGGCCCTAACTGTTGTTGAGGTACTCCTTCCTCAACAGATTCTCCATATCCATTATTTCTTTTTGTTCGATTTATTCTAGCATTATAAGGGAAATAATTATCAGAAGATGAAGAAAAACTTCCACCAATTCTACGCATTTCTAATTGTTTTTGGGCTTCCAAAAGTGAACGCTCACAAAAATTAATTTCTGCATTTACATAATTTAATGTTGTCTGTGTTCTGCTATGCATTAATGGTAAACTTAGAACAATTAAAAGTATTGAAAGAAAACTAAAAAAATAAAAATAATTATTTTAAATTTCAAATTATTTTATTTTTAGTATAATGAAAGAGAATTTCTAGGTAAGAGAGGCAATCACTAAAATTAAATTCTCACAAAAAAATTAAATAAATCTTCATTTTTATTAGTTATTAAAACAATATATTTTATTTTTTTTCTTAAATAGAAATAGGGGGGGTATCTATTCGAAAAAATTTTCATAGGAATCGAAAACATATTCCAAGTTCTCCTTATATTTAATTAGCTTTACAAATAAAATTTTACCTAAAAGCAATTTGAATGCCAGCAACAAATTGATAAGCAGTTTGTCTATTTATTAATGGAAATTTATTTGTAAAAATAGAGCTTTCTTTACAAACAAAGAATTGTTTATATCTTTAATTAATTAATTTTTTAAAATAATTTTAAATAAAAAGAAACCTTTCTTCTTCCCCATCTTTTTCCCCAATTCCAGACATTTTTAAAAATATTTTTAATTTAATTTTAAAAAATAAATATAAATATTTAATTTAAATTTTGAAAGAAAGGGAGAGAGAGAGAAGGGAAGGGAATATATTTTCGAGAATGCCCTGGCGCGGAAACAAATTTAAAAAGAAGGTGAGAAGAAAATAAAAATATTTATTTATTATGGTTGATTTAATGAATGACCTACTAAATTATATTTATTTTTAATGTCATTTTAAATATATTTTTGGAAGAATTTTAAAAAAGGGAAAAATTTAATAACTAATTTAATTAATTTGTTTTTACTTTTAATTATTTAACAATATTTTAAGTATGTAACAGGGATAGCACAAATTAATCAAAAAATATAAATTTAATTTGAAAAAAAATAATTAAAAAAATTTTTTAAATTAAATATTATAAATTTAAGCTTTCTAAAATAAATGCCTGATCTAAGTTAATTTTAAAAGGCCCCAAAAGATTATTTTGGAAAAAGTGACAAGAATTTGTGAGAAAAATACAATTTATTTTAATTTTTTAAAGTAATTTTGTACGAGGGATGCCACAAATTAATTATAACAAATTTTATTTAAATATATACCTGGTAACTATAGTTTAGACTTCTTGTTGGAGAGGGTAATTAATCGAGCGGGGCGATTATTTGAGAGAGAATAATCATACATATAATTAAAACTTTAATTTGAGAAAGCTAATTTTTGTTTTTCTTTAAAATTAAAAATTTATATAAATTTAATATTTTAATAAAAATATTTACATACATATAACAAATCAAAATAAATTTGGGCTATTAATAATTCAAACAAAAATATTTTTAATTTCAAAAATGTTTAAAATTTAATTTTTGAGTCCAAATTTAAATAAATTATTTAAGAAAATATAAAAATAAAAAAATCTTTTTTTTTTGTTTGATATTTTTTAATGCCTTTTCTTTTTCTTTCGTGCATAACCTCCTTGTTGTGAATAACCACCACCTATTGCTAAAAAATATTTTTATATAAATATTTAATAATATTTTAACCATTTGTGGATGGTGGATATCCTCCTCCTTGTGTTATCTTTTTCTTTTGTTCAGTAACCACAACTTCCGTATCTTGACATACACAAGTTCCAGGTGTGCCCGTAGGCCCAGGCTCTCCTTGAGGACCAGCTTGTCCAGAAGCACCCATCGCCCCAGGAGGTCCAGGTAATCCAGGCCATCCTTTTTCACCAGCACTTCCTGGATAACCATCTTCACCTGGTGGACCTGCAAGGCCGGGAGGCCCCCTAGAAAAACAAAAATATTTTATTTTCAATAAAAATATCAAAATTACCAAGGTCCAGTTTCACCAGGATCGCCAGGTGGACCTGGAATTATATGTGCCTCTGGTGTTGATCCTTTATCGCCAGGCGGTCCTGCAGGTCCTGGTTGACCATCTAATCCGGGAGGCCCATCTTCTCCCTAATTATGAAGTTGAACTTTAAATAATAATTTTACTTACCTTTTTCCCTGGTAATCCATCTCGACCAGGACGACCTGGAATACCTGGATCACCCATCTATAAAGTTAATTTTTCTTTAAATTACACATAATAATACTTAAATTACCTCCCCAGGAAATCCTGGATGTCCAGGTGGCCCTCTCGGTCCTTGTGGACAAGGCAAGCATGGTGGAGGTTCAAATACTCTTTCAGGAATACACGAAGCATTTGGAGTAGTTCCTGGCCGGCCTTGTGCCCCATCAGGGCCAGGAGCACCAGGAATTCCTGGAAGGCCTGGATCACCAGGAGGTCCTCTCTCGCCAGGAATACAACAAGCTAAAAGTTAAAAATCAAAGTTTAAATTGTTTATTTTTATATGGATACCTGGGCATTCTTGAAACATAGGCCCTCCCCCATTCATTAATGCAGCATTATATCCACTACCATAAGGAACATGTCTTTTACTTCTATTCGTTTTTAAAATTTCTACTTTTTGATTTTTAATAGGTAGTGCCATTTCTGAATCAAGTGCTGTTCTCTTTAAAAATTTTATGAGTAATAATTGGGAGATTAAAGTATATTTATAAATTATAATCAAATTGCAAAAATTGAGGTGTTAAAAATAGGGGTTTAAACTAATTAAATTTATGACAATTTATTGTCCCAAGTAGTTGAATTAATCAGAATATCTCGAATTGTTTCAGAATATCTCGACCAGACACAAGAAAATTTCACCAAAATTTGGGTAATAAATTGAGAATAAATATAGAAATAATAATTCATATTTTTTAAATTAAATCTCTCCTTAGTTGGTCGAGGGATTTTTAATATTTAATAAAATTACTTCACAAAAAGCAAAATCTTTTCTAGCGAATCCAGCCAAACTATTAACATGGCTATATAATGATGGAAGTAATGCACAAAGGCAAAGAAGTGCACTAATACTAAATAAAGAACTAAATAAAATAATACTTCTATAGGCTAATTCTCTTTTTAAATATTTTTCCTCTTTTTTATTTTCTGTTTTTGTATTTAATAAATCAGAAGATTTATCAGAAGATTCCTCTTTTATATTAAATTCAACAACTCTTTGCTTTTCAGAATTATTATTGTTGTTATTATTGTTTTTATTATTTTTGTCAAATTGCCGACTGCTGGTTGGCCTTACGGCCATTTCAAAATTATAAAAAATTAATTTAAATATTTCTTTTAAAACTTTAAAAAATATTTTTTTAATTTTAAAAATTAATTACAAAAATTTATTTTTAGGAAAAGAAAAAGAGAAAAGGAAAAAGTACAAAAAAGGAAAATTTAGTGGAGAGGCGATTTTCGCTTTTCGATAAAAAAAGTAAAAAAAATTAAAAACACTTTTTTATTGTCTATCATTTCACATCCATTCCTGGCATTCATTTAAACACAAAAATGTCAACATTCATATAAAGAAAAGTTAAAATTTAACAGAAGAAAATACCCCGCGCAAATTATCTTTCGAATATATCTTTTTTATCACCTTATGTGAAGGAAAGCGAGAGAAAAAGAGATTATGGATAATTTTAGATAAAGTGAATGACCCAATTTTGTGGACTTTATGTTTGTTGATCCGTATAAGAAAAGAGAAAAATAGAAAAATATTTTGGTGATTTCGATTGGTTTTAGAGGATATACTAACAAGTTAAAGGGATGTGGATGGATGGATATATTTTGTGTGTTAAATTGTTTTGTGAAGGCGTCAACCGGCTATTTTGTGTTATTAAAAGATGAAGAATATATTTTAATGGAAAAAAAAGAATTGAAAAGTAAATTTAATAAATTAAAATTTAAAGATAAATTATATATATTTAAAGATTATTATTTAATAGCATAAGAAGTTAGACGCCTTGGGAATTTTAAAAACTCCGATTTTTTCCTCCATTGACTTCTTGGCCTTCTGAAAATTCAAAAATTTTAGCCATCTCCTTCGTCTGATCCTTGCTTGCACATTGTACATTTCTCATTTCTACTTTGCTTGAATCTCTTCAAGACTCCAGACATAAGATACTTGATACCTTATATCTGAATTATTATAATTAAACGCTTAATTTTTTCAAATTAAAGTCAAAATATTCATTTTATTTTTCCATTCTTTAATGCTTGAGAGTATCAGATTTTTAAATAATTTTTACAAAAAATATCTTTACTTCCGAATTATTCAAAATATTATTTATTTAAATTAAAATTACATTGAGAAAAACTTTTAATTTCCTTTTTAGTAAAATTGTAAACAAAAAAGGAATATATAATAAAAAGTTATTTAATACTTTAATGTTTTTATTACTTAAAATAAATTTTTTGAATAAATTAATTTAAATTAAAGAAATGACTTCAAAATTGGTTTTTTAATTAAATTGTTGAATAATATTTTCCACAATATCTACAATTTTTTCTAAAATAATTTTTTAATTAAATAGGTATTATATTCCAAAAAAATTTTAAATTTATAAATTATTTAATTTTGAATTTAAATTTAAAGTTGGCTTATTCCGTCAAATTAATTAAAAGAAAATAAATTACCTTAAATTTTTTAATCAAAAATTTAATTGATTTTCTCAAAATGGAAATTTTAATTTAATATTTATTAAAAATTTCTGGTTAAATTATTATTTAGTTATTTAATATTTCTTAAAAAATACATATAAGAAAAAAATGAAAAAAATTCTTTAATTTATTATTTATACATTTCTAGTAATTTAATTTAAAAATTCATTGGTTTCTTTAATCAAAAAAATATATTTTTTTTTTCATATAATTTTTACTTCATTATTTTCTACACAAATTTAATTTAATAAAATATATTTGAATTTTTTATTTTATTTATAATCTAATTGAGATACTCAATAAAATCCAATAATTATTTTATTCTTAAAACGAATACCAGAATATTTTTTAAAATTTTATAACAACATTTATTTTTATTAATCTCGACTCTCATTTATTTAAAAAATATTTTTCCTCTTTTTAAAACTTCCATTTATTCATTATTTTTTTGTTGTTGATTATCGCCACTTGGGGCCTTTAATTGTGCCATTTTATTTTTTTTCATTCTTGAGTCAAATGTTTTATAAAATATTTAGTTAGTTTCTTTCCTCAAGAGAAAGTGGAGTAGGGAGGGGATTTTTGTATTTTATTTTAAAAGAGAAAATATGTAAAAAGACAAAAAAAATATTTAACAAATTAACAACAACAAAATATACTTACATACTTTCTCTGTTTTTGGTCTTTTTATGCCTTTCTGCTCTTTCGGCATTTTTTTGTTGTTAGTTAATGGTTGAACAAGAGAGGAAAAAAGCTTTTTTTGTTATAAAAATTGGGTTGGGGTTAGAGACAATTTATAAATAAATATTTATTTCTTCTTGAGTGAATATAAAAATATTTATTTATTTATTTTGCCTTTTTTATTTAAATAATTATTTATTTTAATAGAAATTTTAATTAAAAAATTTTAATTAACAAAAAAATTATTTTTTACAATTATTTTAGTAAAATAATTTAGTAGAATAATTTAATAATAAAAATTATACAAATTTTACCATTTCCCTTTTATTTTAGTTTATAACTAAAGTATTCTAAAAATCTTTGGTTTTTAAATAAAGCAACTAAAATATATAAGGTTTTAGTCTCAAAATAACTATTTATATTATTAAAAATAACATTTTTCTAAATATTATATTTCCAATAATATTAAAAGCTAAAAATAAAGCCGTGGAATGACGACAAATTTTTAGAGAATATTTTATAATCAAAAATTATTATACAAAAATAGTTTTAAAAATTTATTTTAAAAGAATGCGATATTTAAAATAATTGCAAAAACTCCAAAAATATATTAACAACTCAGAGTTTGATTTTCAAAAAAAATTTTTTTCTCATCATAAAAAATTAGATAAAATTTTTGTTAAATTTAACACAATTCAAAAATTATTCTTGATCACAAAAAAACTAAAATTAAATAATCCCTTTCCTTAATTCCTCGTTTATTTCTTAAATTCTTTGTTAATTTTATCCCCGTTGGGAATACTGAGGCATTTCAAAATAGGTATATCTACTTATTAATTTCTATATTAATATTCCTCTTTTTGGAAGATTCAGAAAATTTCGAAGCCTTTATTTTACTTTCTTCTCTTTTCCAATAATTTACATAATTATTTAAATTATTCTTTTTTTGTGTTTAATAATGTAACAAAAAAATAAAAGCATGATAATTAACAAAAGAATATATAATTATTTATGAATCCTTTAGTAATTACTTTTATTTAACATTTTCTTTAAAACATTTTTATCAATTTTTTAAATATTTTACAAATATCCATTTTTAGTTGATATATTTTTGGAAACTTTTTTTCTTGATTATTTTGGTATCACGCGAAAATATAAATATGCATTATATTTATTTTTTAATATTTTCTTTTATTTTCAGCTTTAAAAAATTTTTTTAAATGGATAGATTAGCTGCTTGTCATGCACTTTATGGCTTTATGCAATTACCCGGCTCTAAACGGGGCCGCCATTCAAGCGCTCCGAATTGCCAAAACGTTAAACGTTCACTTTCTTTGGCTGACCGTAGAGGAATTATTTCACCTGGTAGAGGAAATGGAAGGGGATTTATTTCACCTTTGCCAATAACACGTAGAAGAGCAAGTACAAAAGGAAGTGATGAATGGGATGATATTACAAAATTACATGGCAAGTTTTTTGAATCAAAAATGAATTAAAATTATTTTTTAGGCCCCCACTCATTCTCCCGATTACGTGGTATTGGACTTTTAATGCATGCACTTGGTGGGCCTGGACAAGTATTTATTTCGGCAGCAGCTATGGATTTGGGTAGAGGGGGTGCAAAAGTTCCACCCACAAATCTCTCATACGGAAGAAAAAGCGCAGAAGTAATTGATATAATTTTATAAAATTATTCTAAAAATTATAGTTGAATCTTTGGCGAGGAGAACAACTTGGGCAACTTCTCATATCATTAAGATATTCACCAGCAGACGGGCAGCTAAATATTGGTGTTATTCGTGCAAGCGGAGTAAAAGTGCCAGGCATTCGATAATTTATTTTCTTGTCAAAAAATATTTTTATAGCCCCATATATCGTTGCTTGGTTACTACGAGAAGCCCAGAGGCCTGAAAAGCGTTCCGGCCCACGCCGGCCAAAAGATGGTCGTCGTTTCTCAATTGCCCCAGTTTTTGATGAAGTTTTTGAATTCCAAATAGCTTCATCAGAAATTCAAGACGCAACAATTGTGATTTCGGTAATGAATACATGTACAGGAGGAATACCAGACGTCGAAATTGGTTACTGTGTGTTAGGGGAATTGGCAATTGAGGAAGCTGGAAGAGAACATTGGCGACAATCTACGGGGCAACCAGGGAATGTAATTACACGATGGGCAACTTTATTCTCTTCATAATTAATAAAATTATGTTGGAAGATTAATTTATTAGAAAGAAAAGGCCTCTCATTTAAATAAATTTAGAAAGATTTCTAAAAAAAGCGAGCATTATTATCAATGTCAAAAAAATATTGAATTTTTATTTGTAAGTATTTTAAAATACAATTTAAACAAAAAAATTAAGTGACAAAAATTGATGAGATATTTTGTATATTTTTAAAGCAAAAAAAAGAAATCATGTATTTAATTGTTCATACTTTAACTCACGTTTATTCTCAAAAACATGTCGATCCACACATACATTTCCTGTACAATCATTAATTTTGTAAATTCCAATTAAACGATCCGATTTTTCATACATTTGATTGCGAAGTGAAATAACAATAAATTGAGCATTACGTGTACGCTCCTATAAAAATTTATTTTTTTTAAATTTAAAACTCAAGTCTACCAAAAGATAATTAGCGATTATAGAAACATTTCGAAAATCCAACGCAGCATCAATTTCATCCATCACATAGAGTGGTGTTGGTTTATAATGATGAAGGGCAAAAACCTGTAAAATGTATATTTAAAAACATCAAAGTAAAATAGAGTTCGACACATAAAGGAAAATTCTCAAACAACCTCAAACCAAATGTAAAGGAAACCAAATTTTAGTTTAGACATTTTTTCATATCAAACTAAATGTAAACTTACCAAAGAAAGAGATGCCAAAGTTTTTTCACCGCCAGACAAATTCAATATCTGTTTCCAAGATTTTTTCGGTGGTCGAACATTAAATGCAATTCCTTCAGAAAATGGATCTAATGCATCTACCAATTCAAGTGAAACATCTCCCAAGATAGTAATCATTTGATATGTAGTGCGGAGAAGTGTGGCAATCTCTTGAAATCCTTCCATAAATTCAAAAAGACGCTGTTTCTTCAATTTATCATGCAAAGCACGATGGCGATCACGAAGTGAAGTAATTTCAGAAAGACGGTTAAATTCCGCCTCGTAGCGATCCAACTTTAATTTTAAAATAATTTTTAAATTCCAATTAATATTAAAAAACACCTTTTGCATAAAATCCATAACAATCGCCAAATTAACTCGTTGCTTTGCTCTTCGCTGTTCCAATGTTGCTAGATCT